ACTTACTGTCCAGCACCACATCTGCCGTGCTGACAATTGTTAAGACACTCAGTTTTTAGTTATCAGTAAGAGAAAAGGCACTGGCGTTTCCATGAGGATGCATCGCAATTTGAGGCACCTTAAGATGTTTTCATGTGAATCTTAAAAATGACTGGCGTGGGGAACGTTTTCACAGTATCACCACGGCTGCACGTTGAGAATTAAGCGAGACCAGTGCCCGCTGTCCCCGCAGCCCAGGCAGGAGGTGGGGTGGCTCGGGCCAGGCTGGGGGATGGAGGTGAAGTGGTGCCCCCTCCTGGCTCAGGCTGGAGCTACAGCCAGCGGGATTTCCCTCCAGCGAGACTTAGGGTGGGAAAGAAAGCGGAGCCAAGGACAACTCCAGAGGCTTTTCTCCAGCTCGGGGCAGGCTGGCGAGGGCTGTGGACTGAGCAGGTGTCGGGGAGGGTGATGGCTCTGTCTGGGAGGTGCTCGATCCCAGGCCCCTGAACATCTAGTGGACACTGCACACAGAGAGCTGAGCTCAGGGACACAGTGTGAGCTGGAGGGGAGAGTGGGGCACTGTCTTAGGAGCCATGCAAGTGAGCTTGGATGATGTTCTTCTCCACAGAGCCTGTGGGAGAGACCCCAGCCCTCGCCAGTGTCCGGCTGCTGCCTTGGGGGAGACCCCGAGGAGAGGAGCAGCTCAGCTGGGCCCGGGCTCCCCACCCACAGGAGCTGAGATGACAGATGTGTGCTGCTTCAGGCTGCTAGCTTGGGGAACACTTGCTACGCTCATTCATGTGCGGTGGGTATCACTCCCTGTGGCTGTTATAACAAACGAGCATAAACCTGGTGGAGTAGAGCAACCTGGACTGATTGCCTCACCCCTCTGGAGCTCGAAGTTGGACAGGGTCTTCCAGGGCTCACACCGAGGTGCGGGCAGCCTGCGCTCCTCCTGGGTCTCAGCAGACTCCCTCTCCTTGTCTTCTCCAGCTCCTGCAGGTCCCCCCCGCTGCTCGGCCACAGTCCCCTCCTCCACTGTCACACCCAGCACCGAGCCCTTCTCATGCTGCACTAACTGGACCCCGGCATCCTCTTCCACGGAGAGGGACCCTCACGATTACAGGGGTGTGGCCAGCTAAGCGGGGGAGCCCCCATGTCAAGCTCCCAAGCTTCATCACATCTGCAAGTTCTTCCCGCCTTGCACCTGACCTGGTCACAGGTGTCAGGGAGGACAGTGTGGCTGTTGGGGTTCGGGATGGAGAGAGGGCCCCCCAAGGGGTCATCCCTGACAGACACGGCCCAGCGCCTGTACTGGCGCTGCCTCCACACCGGGTATAATTTATAGCCTCTTCCCGGAAAAACAGGCTCTAAAGTCTCCAAGGCCTTTTAAAACTACAACATGGAAAAGACATATGATGATCTGGTGCTGCCTCTCAGGCCCATGGAGAGTTTTGCTTTTCTTCTCATCACTAACACTCATCTAAACCATGGAAAGTTCACTTTTCCTTTTTTTTTTTTTTTTTGCCAACAAGGAAATACAGCAAGCTGGAGAGAACCTGGGTCTATAAATATCTTCTGACAATTTAAGGCAATTAAGCAATGAATCAGTAGATTAATTATGACATAGGCATCTCCAGAAAGCAGCCTCGGGCTGTACTTATTTAATCAGTTGATGAGGTCATTAATTCCCCCACTTGCTTCTTGAATGCAGAGCTCCCCTTGAGAAGCTTCCCCAGAGCCAAGAAAAATTCACAACATTACACTCATTAGCAAGTAAATACATAGAGCATAAAAAGGAACTATGCATAATCTGCCATTTAAATAATTTATCCAGAGAGTTTTAGATGAATTGTGGGTGTTACGGCTGGTATCTAGATGTCCCCGCAAGGCCTCATGAGATAGGGCTTTTCGGAGGCACCTGGGGCTAGACTGTAAGATGCTGGAATTGATCCATGGTGCAATGCTAGGATCAAGGGCACTAGGATTAAGGGTGTGAGTGTTACCTGCCCTGAGATGAGATAGATGGGACAGAAAGAGCTGTGGTCAACCCTCGTTGCTTTGCTGCCTTCTGCCCACGATGAACTGCTCTCCTCTGCGATCTGTCTGCCACACCCCTCTGCCTTGGAGGCAGCCGAGTACAGACTGAAACCTCTACAAACTGTGAGCTATATAAACCTTTTCCCTTTTAATTTTGGGTGTAGGGTATTTTGTTTCAGCAATGAGAAGAAAAAAAAACAACTAAGACAGTGGGTATTTTATCAAAAGTAAAGTTCTGGATTTGTTTTAGGGTCAATACCATTAAGTATTTAATGGGCTTTGTGCATTACTGCATAGCCGCCTGTTGGACATTTTGATCTCTGGGTTTTATGCAGAAGCTGGGGTTCGAGACTTCTAGCGAGTCATGAACACAACACAGTTGCAGGGAGTCAGCTGAGTGACTGTGTCAGCAGCCTGCTGTGTGTTCAAACTCAGATCCGTGTGTCCTGAGCCTCCAAGGTTGGGGGAGGGACCCCTGCAAACCGCAGAGTCCTCTAAAGGCTGGCACAACCATTTGCAATTCGTGCACTTGGTGAATTCCCTTCCTTCCTTCTCTCTCTCTTTCTCTCTTTCTTTCTTCTTTGACAGAGTCTTGCTATGTAGTGCAGGCTGGCCTTGAACTTGCTTATGTAACCCAGGTTGACCTGAAACTCATGGTGATCCTCCTGCATCAGCCTCCTAAGTGCTGGGATTACAGGTGTGCTCTACCATTCCTGCCATGTGAGTTTTTGAAAGCCTAGGTTCCCCACTTCCCAGACTGGAAACTGATTGCTTTGGGACCTAGGATTTGGTATGAATTCAGCTTTCTTTAGATCCCTTGGTAGAACAAGGTCCAGGTGACCTTGTGATCACTTCCAAAGCTGCATGGTCATTGCTGGAAATGTACCAGAGTTTTCCTGAACACTTACTACATCCCAGCCCCTGAGCTCTGAATGAGGGTTTGTGAACAGGAAATTCAGAGCTGCTGTCCTCAAGGAGGAGGTGGGCAAGGTAGCTACGGCAGGGTTCAGACTGGCAGGTTCCTGGGCAGGTGCCTGTCCTTTTACAACTCTAATGGGCTGTGCCAATGAACATCTGTTCCAGGCCTCAATTGCTGCAGCTTACTTTTTATAACCAACTGAAAACCTGTGGAAGGAGAGTGTGAGGTGTAGCTCAGTGGCATAACACTTGCCCAGGGTGCAGAGGGCCTTGGGTTCCAGCCCCAGCACTGCAAAGACAAAAAAAAAAAAAAAAAAAAAGACAGAAGCAGAAGTTGTTCTTACAACAAGCACCTAGGAATAGGTGGGCCCGGGCAGGTGCTGAGGCTCCATCCTGCTCCTCCAGGACGCAGACTGTCCCGTGTGCTCTGGCCGACCGTTATTGTGTCTGAGTCAGGCAAGGCTGGTGCGCACACTCTAGGCAGGAAGAGGGGAGTGTGGGAGAAGGGCAGTGCTGCTAGCAAGATGTAGCTGTGGCCTCGGGACAGAGTCAGTGACCACACCTTGGCTCACAGGTTGGAACCGTGTCACCTGGCTGCTGCTAACTGCAAAGGACACTGGGTATTAAGCACGTTAGTTTCGGCCTCTAGGGTGCAGAAAGCAAGGGAGCAGGGTCTTCACGTGTCTGTCTCACTTGGAAATTGCTTCTTCTTTTCTGGGGGAGTGGGGATACCAGAAATCGAACTCAGGACCTCAAGATTGCCAGGCAGGCACTGTACTGCTGAGCTATATCCTGGCCCTGGAGACTGCTTCTTTTATTTAACAGGTTTTAATGTTTTATTCTATTAGTTCCTTACTGCTGCTGTAACTCATTGCCCCAAACCCTATGGCTTAAGAAGATGCAAGTTTATTTCCTCGTGGTCCTGGAGGTTGGTCTGACATGACTCCTCATGGGCACTGCAGGGCTGGTTCCTTCTGGAGACCCTGGGGGAGAGTCTGTCCCTTGTCTTTGTCAGCTTCTAGATGCTGCCAGTGTCCCCAGGCTCCTGGCCAGAGGTTACCCTCTGACCCTGCAGGACCCTTGGGAGGACAATAGCCCCCTGGACAACCCAGCACTACCTCGCTATCTCAGGATCCTTAACTTCATCACACGGCAAAGTCCCCTTGGTTCCGGGGCGGGGGATCACCTGTGCTCAGGGCCTGGGGTCAAGCAGAGGATACCTCCAGAGCCACCATGCTGACTGAGCCTCAGGTCTAGGTTTTCCAAGTGTGCAGCCCCCTGCCCCCAGAGAACACCTTTCTCCCTCCCTGAGGGTGCTCATGGAGCCTTTTTTCCTTCACTTCCAAAACACATGCTACTGTGCTTTCTCAGGGTCGGATTCACGGGTCAGCTGCGGACGCCCCTGTCACGGAGCACAGGCTTCTGCTCTCTCCTTCCTCCAGGGCGGGCGGTGGGCGGTGATCATACTGTGCTGACAGAGGGCTGACACTCAGCCTCGCGATCTCTCCACACAAGCCGAGCGGTCACGAGACACTGCACAGGTGCAGTGATTGTGAGGTCGCCTTCCTCGCAGTGAGCCTTGCCTGATCTTCTCTCTGAATTCATGAACACTGGAATCCTTATCTAAAGCTAAAGGGCTTCTCTGAGACCATTTACAACTCCTCTGCGTTGTAAATGGCCTTGCGGCCTACAACTTTACCGTCCAACTTTAGATACAGTGCAGGTGTTCCCAGAGCATCAGCACGAGCCAGGCGGCCGTATCCCTCATCCTCAAAGCCTCACTAAGATCCTGATGTCTCCCCAGGACTGTGCCACTCCTCTCGGACACTCACCTGCTGTCCCTCTTGACAGTGCGCTCTGATCTGAATAAACTCGTCTTTTTTTATTCTGATCTCACTAGATTCTTTTGTCATCCACATCCCTAGCCTCTGCAATGGCACCCAGCACATCAAATACCTTTGTAAGGTGCTTCTCAGGGGAACTGGGGATGCCATGCAGGAGAAAACCCTTGTTATCCTCATAAGGGTCAAACGCGCAGCCCAGCCCCGGCCCGAGGTGCCCACCTGCCTGTCCTGCTCCAGCAGCTCCTGCAGGAGGCCCCACTGCCGTCTCCGGAAGCGGTCCGAGTGCCCCAGCTGCCGAGCCGCATCCTCCTGCACCTCCTGCCGCAGGGCCTTGCACTCCGTCCTGGGGAGGCCGCTGACACCCGGGAGCGTGTGCAGGAACAGGGTGTCCACGAGGCGCTGGAAGGTGTCCATGGTGCTGCGGTACAGCTCCTGCGGTGAGACGCCCACTGCGTCTTAGCGTGCCACCCTGCGCCAGCCGGGCTTCCCTCCACCTCTGCTGTGCACACCCAGGGGACCCAGGGAGGCCTGCACATGGCCACACACGCACAAACACGCCACACACATAGACACCAATGTGCACACACGGACACAAGTGCACACGCAGTCCTGGGACACACCTGCTGTCTTCTAGGGCCCTCGCCCCACCCAGATTTGTGGGACAGTGAGCACCCGCTGCTCTGCCCATTGGAGGCGGTTCATTAGGGCAGCTCCTGCTGGTGACCCTGGTGAGGGCGGTTTCCTCCTCCTGCCTGCAGTGGGCCCCCCCCCCGTCCCTTCTAGCAGGCAGCTGTCCTTGGCCTTGTCTTCCCTCCAGGCACCCTTGCCCTCCTTTCTGGGTCCGTACCAGGGATATGCCCACAGGAGCCACTGAGGCCCAGGATGTTCCGAGTGCCAGCTGCCACCACGGGCCTCCCAGGGGCCCAGTCCTCACGACACTGCCGGGAAGGACTGCTACTGTCCCCAGTGCACAGCCGGGGACGCTGAGAGCTAGAGGCTGGAAGTGGCCTCATGGCCACGCAGCCAGGCAGGGGCAGAGCCAGGACGCTGGGCCAGGCACTTGGACCCTCCTTCAAGGTGCTGTCCCCATAGGCCCTTGTCACATCCTCCCCGCTGGTGCCCACGGTTCTGCATGTTGCCTCTGCCCGCTGGCCCTTGCCACTTGGTGATCTTGTGTGCTTTCCCCTGATCACATGGGGGGCCGACGTCCCGCTTCCTGCATGCGGGGGGAGGGCCCAGCTTGGGGCGGGGTGGCCTGCCTGGTCATCCGGCCTGAGTGCAGATGGACCCGAGCCTGCTGGGGTCCCCACCCAGTGTACTGAGGCTGTCACACGTGTGCAGCCCGGGGACTCTGCCATCCCGGCCGGGCCCGCCTACCTGGCACAGTGCAGCTGCGGCCTCAGTGGCTCTGACCTCCTCCTCCTCCTCCAGGTCACTCTGCGTCAGCTGCTGCCGCTCCAGGACCTCGTGGAGAGCCTGTGGTTCAAACAGGAGCTGAATCTGGTACAAAAACGCAGGCTTCGCTTTCTCCAGGAATTCTCCCCAGCCTGCCCTGGCTGCTCAGGTGGGAGGGATGGGTGCCGTGATTTAGACTCTGGGAAACTGAGGCATGGGACTGTCACATGGCTTCTGTGGCTTGCAAACTGTGGACGAGAGTTTCTTCCTGGGAGAAGCATGGGTCACGCTTCCCTTATGCCCAGTGTGAGAAGGCACCGCCAGGTCACCCCGTCACCTTGTCCTGGTCTCCAGCCCCAGGCATCACTCTCTGACAACTCTGCTGGGGATCCCACCCACACACAGCGAGGACCCGGGGAGCCCAGCAGGGTGACCATCACAGTTCAGGGTGGGCAGGGAGAGGTGGGGAGACGGCCCAGAAACCCCAGCACAGTCAGGGGGCGCGGTGGGCAAGGGGAGGAGGGGGGACCTGCACAGGAGAGGTCAGCAGAGGAGATGCAGTGGGGGCATCGGGCTGAGTCTCTGAGGATGCAGGGGCCCTGTGGGGGGACCCAGGCCCAAGGAACAGTGTAACCAGCACCAAGAAGACTTCGGCCTCTGAGGGTGGTGTGCAGTGGAGGGGGTGGGGGAGGGGCAGGGACCAGTGCAGAAGGAAGGGCGCTGGAGTTTGGTGCCCTCCACTCACTGCTTCATGTGTTTGCCCATCCATCCGTCTGTCCATCCACCCGTCTGTCCATCCATCCGTCTGTCCATCTGTCCCCCATCCATCTGTCCATCCATCCATCCATTTCTTTGTCCCACCCATGCATTCCTTCACCCCCTCCTGCTTCACTCCAGTCGCCTGCACAGCAGCTGCGTGCTGGGCCTGTGCTGGGTCCCGGGACACAAGGACGTCAGTGACCCTCCCCACTCTCAGGGCTCAGGCTTAGCTGAAGGACGTTGAGAGGACAGTGGAGCAAAGAGCCACCCACCCCATCCTCCTCGTCCTGCAGCAGGGGCTTCTCCCACACAGATGCACCCTCCCGGCACCCACGCTCCACAGCAGCTCAGTCCCGGAGGGCTCTGGCTGGCCATGGGCAGCTGGGGTGGGCCTCAGCCTCTGCTCAGTCCTGGAGACCTCCTGTGGCCTCCCCCTGGGGTGCTGCCACCCACACCCCCCCATGCCACGCTCCCACACTATCCGGCCAGAACTGGGCACAGCTGGGAGGAGCCGTCCCAAAGGGTCACCAGGGGCCAGAGGAGTCTCACGAGGCCAGAGCTGCCCACTTTGGGTCCCAGCACCCTAACAGCCCTGTGACACAGATAACACTATTCCCATTTCACAGATGAGGAAGCCAAGGGCCAGGATGGGGTGTGGGGAAATATGCGGTATGACTAAAAAATACGGGGAATGTTTCAATTAAAAGCACATTACAGAAAAGACCCTTGCCACGCATACCCCTCGGGATCCTCCCCCTTGCTTGGAACACACTCATCCTGTCGTTCCTGCCACTTTCTGAAGCAGCTATGGAAACCTCTTCTGTGTCTTAGTTACACTGTTGTGGCTGCCGTGATGTCCTGAATCGATTCGAAACATTCACATTTCATGATCATTTTGACTTGGGGAAGAGCCAGAAGTCACATGGGGCCAGACATGGTGGACAAAGCGGATGAGGACACAGCGTCTCGTCTGTATGAGCCGACTTTCTATGAGATGACACGAGCAGCAGCTCTTACTGTGCTTCTGATTACACCCCGTAAAGACTCTCACGAAAGAGAGCTCCAGAGCTGCTTCAGAAAGCTGCAAAAAGTGACAGGATAAGCACGTCCCAAGCAAGGGGGCGTTTTCTGAGGAGGCTTAACGGCAATGTAACTTTTACTGTAAAGAATTTTAAAATTTAAACTTTCCCCGTGTTGTTAGCAACGTGTCTGAGCCGTGCCCGGTGCCTACCCTGCATGAGACAGCTGGGGACTGGCAGCTCCTCCTAGTTCCCCAGAAAATACAGACAGACAATGGAGCTCTTCTCCTCTCCAAGAACTGGCCAACTGCGGTAGGTACAACCTATGCTGGCACTAGCTGACCCCTTTATCCTCTCACTTCCTGTCCTCCAGTGGGTTTCCTGTCCCCTTCCAGGACAAGATCAAGAACATCTTCTAGCGTGGCTACTCCCCAGCCCTGCTGGCTCAGCTCCATGTATCAAGCTGAGGACTGCCTCCTTCCCAAGGGCTGACGAGCTGGCCTCATACGAGAGGACCAGCTCTGGCCCAGAAAACATCCCTGAGTGCCCCTGCACAGGGCTACTGTCCTGCAGCCCATCTGTAACGGTTGGTACATTGTGCTGACTTGAGAATTTTAACTAAGTAACTCCACAGTTCTACATCCTAGGATGCAGAGGACATGCCCCTAGGGCGGCCGTTTATGCTGTAGGATATTGTAATGGTTGATTCACTGTGTCAACCTGAGAAGTTTAGAAGTTTAACTAAGTGACTAGCAGGGGGCCAGGGTCTTCACTTTGTAAACATCCTGAGCCTGTGCCAGAGGAGGGCACTGAGATGGTCTGAGTGCTGCACCCACCGCAGGGCGGGTGGCCAGCTTACATTATAAGGGAGGAAAAGAGGGTAGCTCTTCCCCGCTTTTGCTCTGGTTGCTTTTGCTGTCTTCTGCCACCTTGAACTGTTGCCCTTCAGCCATGCGGCCTTGCCTTGGAACCAGCTGATTACAGACTGAAACCTCCACAAACTGTGAACTAAATAGGCCTCTCCTCCTTTAACTTTGTATGTCGGCTATTTTGTCCCAGCAGTGTGAGAAAAGTAACTGCGAGAGAAGTCACAAGGCAACCCCCCTCCATGGGAGATTTAAGCTCTTTAAGGAGTTAATAAAAACTCCTTGCTCTTCACCTGTTCCCCTCTAGTTCCCCTCAACAAAAGCCAACCTTGCCCTCATCTGCCTTGGCAGAACCAGACGGTCAACTCTGACAGACGACACGCCCTGCTTGGGCTGTTCTGACCCGCAGACACCCTCTGCTCGGGCTGTTCTGGCCCACCAACACCCCCTCCCGGAAAATGTTCTGGCCCACAAACACCCTCCCCGAAAAGTTAACTTTAAAAACCCCACGCTTTGCTCAGCTCAGGGCTGTCCTAGTCTGCTGGGCATCCCGCCGTGTCGCTCCCCCCAATAAAGACTCCTCTCGCGTCAGAAGGTCTGGTCTGGTTTTGTGTGGGTCTCGGCCCGATCATATCAGTAATCAAGACCCCAGTGCTCTGCAACGCTGTCTGTGGATTCTCCACCGTGAGCTGACCCTGTGTCTGAGGATGCCAAGGCCTGCCGTGCTGGGCGACGGGGCCCTCAGCCCCCACCCAGCCCAACCTGCATGTTCACCTTGAGGAACTCCTCCGGGTCCGAGGTCAGCGGGGAACCAGCCAGCAAGCTCCTCCGTTCCTCCTCGTGGGCTAGGGAGAGCTTGGCCGTCCCCTCCGCCTGGCGAGCCAGAGATGACTGCATCAGATCCTTGCTGTGCTGCACAAACTCTAGGAGTGAAAGGGCCACAGGGCAGGAGGTGACTTTCCCAGCAGGACTGGCAGCGGGGTCACTGCTGTGCCCTACTAAGGGGGGAGGAAACGGAGCACAGCAGGGGCAGCCCAAATCCCACAGGGCACAGATCTGGGTTTCCTCTAGTGGGTTCCACTAACTGCAACCTCCACGAAGGCCTCAGTGGTCCCTAAGGCTTGAGCCCTGCCCCTCCCACTTCCAAGGCTGGCCCTGGGGACAGGAGTGGGGTTCAGGCACCTGCAGCTCAGCCACACGGTGCAGCCTTCTCTCCATGCCGCCCCAGCCCCCTTGCTCCCGGCAGCTGGCAGGACCTCACTTCTCTTGCTCACTCCTGGGCACCGCTGCGTCTGTATCTGACTAGGATCCTCCACCCTCTTCTGCCCTCTGAGTTCCAGGGGGTGGCCCTGGCCCCAGCTCTGCTCTGCAGCAGGGCGCCAGGCTCAGAGAAGGCAGGTGGCTGGGTATCGCAGCCCGTGCTCATGTGGCATGGGCCACACTGCCCCGTGTCCTCCACACCTGCTCCTCACTCACCCCGGCTAAAGTGCTCTGCCTCCTCCCAGAAGGCCTTGTGCTGCTGGGCCAGCAGGTCCTCCTTCTGCTGCCCAGACAGCATGCCCTGTACGGTGAGCAGGTCCAGGCTACGGGACATGGCGGCCAGGTGGCACTTGGTCTCCTCCTGGATCTGCATCCGCAGGGACTCGACCAGCTTGGCCATGTGCACCCTGCCCAGTGTCCTCTGCAGGGTATCCTGCAGGGAGACACACGCCCACGTCAAGGTGTGAGGTCCTGCGGGCATCCCCTGGGGTCACCTTTTGGGCAGAAGCACAACGATAGAGGAAAACGTTCTTCCTCAAGGTCCTCCCGCCCCTGCAGGCCAGGCTGTGTCCTCTGGCCTTGGGGAGGAGATGCAAGGACAGCAGTGAAAGCAGCACAATTCTTGGCCCTGGAGGCTCAGGGAGGCTGAGTCCTGGGGCTTCAGTGTTCCAGAGGTGAGACGTGAAGGAGGAGTGACATCCGGGTTTCAGGCACTTCCTGCTCTCCCCACCCTCGCTCCCACCTCTGTGCTCCGCGCCCACAGCACACAGGGGTCTCTGAGAGACGCTGAGGAGGCTCTGTCACCCCCAGCCCCACATCCTCCACGTCCAGTGCAAACTCCTGGCTGTGGCATGCAAGGCCCTCTGATCCCTGTACCTCCCCCTGCCTGCTCTGGGCCGTTGGCCATGCCGGCTCTCAGCTGTGCGGGGCTGTGGCACGTGCCGACGCTGTGCCCAGGACACCTGGCTGCCTCCTCGCAGGCTGCCTGGCTCAGTCCCCTCCGGTCACGGGCGCAGCGGTCTTTCCCCGCCTCCCCTCCCCGGCCATCCTCTGTGCTCCAGGGCCCCTGTGCTTCCCACTCTGAGGAGCTAGGCCAGGGGCACGGGCCAGGGCCAGCCCAGAGCTGGGACAGTTAATCGGGATGTGAACGTCACTGGGTTAAGAGAGGCCGCCAGATTAGTAGAGCATGCTTTTGAGTGTGAGATGATTGGTATGTGGGCCAGGAAATGGACGGGGAAGGCCCGCCCTGTTGTGGTTGGCTCCATCCAATGGGCTTGCAGGTGGAAAGAAAAGGAAGAAGGAGGAAGGCGGCCTGCCTTTGAAGAGCTCCACTCTGCTGGAGCCCGGGTGTCTTTTGCAGCCTGTGGACACCAGACTCCAGCTTCTCCAGCCTTGCAAGGCAGACTCACACCAGGGAGCTTGCAGCCTGCAGCCTCGGGCTGGCGCTGCCTCTTTGAGCCCTCTTTTCTGCCACCGAGCAGCCAGTGGCTCTCTAGCACGCGGATGGCCGCCGTGGACTCTCCTACCTGTGAGACTCGCTAATAAATCCCCTCGCATACTGAGTGCGCAGAGTTGGCGTTGCTCCCGGAGCGGCCGCTAGAGGGCGCAAGAGGACCGCGGCGCGCAGGTGGGGAAGGCTGTCGGGCAGGATGCTGAGACCCGCGCAGGGCCACAAGGCTGGGCGACCGGGCGGACAGAGGGGCGCGGGGGCATGGTGGGGGTACCAATGCTGGAGTGTGGCAGGGTCCCGGAGCACCGTCTGAGGGCTGCATGCCAGGGGCAGGGCTGCCACACTTGGAGGCCAACACCCAGAGGTGACACGGGAGACTCAGGTACAGTAGCCACAGCAGGTGTCTGCAGTGCTAGCCAGAGACAGGTGCGCTCCATCCATGCCCTTTGTGTTCAGGGCACTCGTAAGTTCGAGCCCAGCCTGAGCAACTTAGTGACTTACTGAGACCCTATCTCAAAATAAAAAATAAACAGGGCAGGGAGGGCAGCTCAGTACGAAGGCCCTGGGTTCAATCCTCAGTACCACAAACAAACAAACACACAAACGCTATGTAAAGAGCCCATGCCACTGTGTATTTGGCAGTCCCGAACGGAAGGACGGCAGGCATGACCGCATTTCTAACCAGACCCCAGGTGATGAGGATGCTGCCGTCCAGCCGCAGGCCACACCTGCTGCGGTGGTGTCCTGGGTCAGGGGTCCGGCACAGGGAGCGGTGGGCCTGGCTCCTCTGCAGGTCAGAGGATTTGAATCTCTGTGCTGAGGGTGGACACCACCGAGGTTCTGAGTGCTGCATGGGTGCAGAGTGCCATGGGAGGGGACGCTGCACAGGCCTTTCACACACAGGACCCCTGATGGTGACAAGGGTCTCCGGAGCCCCTTGGGCCCTGCCTGTGGCAAACCACAGCACCATGATTTTTTTGTTTTTGTTTTGTTTTTTTTTTTTTGGTTTTTCTCCAGTACCGGGAACCGAACTCACGACCTTGCACTTGCCAGGCAGGCGCTTTTGCCGCTGAGCTAAATCCCCAGCCCCAACCGTGATTTTATAAATAAGCTGCTGGCACCTCAGGGAGATTCGTGATGTGTTTAGCATCACACAGCCCCAGCGGCTGAGCCCAGCTTCTGGATTCTGCTGCACTAGCGGCTGGCCTCCCTTGCTGCTCACCAGAATCCTCACGCCAGGGCCTCCACTCCAAATCCCAAAGGGGTGTGGTCTGGGGACGGGCACGGATGACACAGACGCTCTGTCTACACCAGGGGCCATCACCCTGCTGCCCAGCATCATCATCTGAGAGCTCGAGAAACCCCAGGGTTCAGGTGGCACCCCAGCCAGATGAAGCCTGAGCACTAGGTGGGGACTCACCCAGGATCCAAGCTCAGGACCTCTCTAAGCTTCCCAGATGCTGCCAGGCTTGAGACCCCATGCGCCATGCTGCAGGAACACTCAGCTGGCCAGCATCTCCACTAACAGTGGTGGGCGGGTGGGTAGATTAGTGGGTGGATCGGTGGGTTGGTGGCTGAATAGATGGGTGGGTGGGTAAGTGATGCATGGGTGGTGGACGGATGGTGGGTAGGTGGGTGGGTGGATTCACTACCCATCCACCAGGGGAAGGTGTGTGACTTAATGACCTCCAAGATGCTTCAGGTCTCAGCCTTCCCCGCCTCTAGCCCAGTGTCTTCTCCTCCCTCCCCACCCCTCCAGCATTACCAGCGTCTGCAGGTCCTGAGACTGGCGCAAGAGCCCTTCAGCCACAAGCATTCTTTCCGTCAGAGTCATCATGAGCTGCCGTGCCTTGGCGCTGGAGCACTTAAATTGGTCCACAAGAAAGTTCTGGATGTTTTCCATCTGTTTCCAGAAAGCTTCCATCTGTGAAATGAACACGAGAGGCAAGAGTCAGGGGGGAGAATTTATTTAAGAAAGCTCTACGGCTTGCGGTTGGGAATCGCAGTTTCTTCCTGATCACAAACAGAGATTCCGAAGCATCCTGCAGTCTCGGTGAGTTTATTTTGGCAACGGTCGCACTCTACGGAGAGGTGCTGCCCGGCCACCGTAGGCAGCAGTTAGTTTGGAGATGGCTTTTCAGCAAGCAGCAGTGCCCTGCCGCTCCTGAAGGAAATCTATGAGCTCACCCTGGCTTGAGGACTCTGAAACAGACCTTGATTACTACCTGGGGGCACATGGAGGGGACGGTGTGCTGGAAGCTTTGGGGTCTTTAAAGAGGGTTAAATCAGGCCTGGACATGGAAGCATCACTGTCTATTGGAAAGTCACTATTGTCTCGACAGTGCAGAGGAATATGGCAGAGATGATGCCAAGTGGGGAAGCACTTGGCCTTTCAGACGCTCGCCTTCCTCTGGAGGTCACCGGAGGTTTGCACTGTCAGGGGTTTTAATTTGCAACATGGCGGCCTCTGGGCATCGAGGGAACAATGAGGCCAGGAAGGTTAGCACCTGTTCCTAAGGCATGGAGGCGCCAGGCTGTGCCCAAAGGCTTGCACCCGGATGAATGTGCCTGGGCAGGCCCAGAGAGGGCTCAGCTAAGCTCCTCAGCATAGGGCACAGCTGGGGACAGCAAGAGGCAGGCTGTGTGCTTAGAAGCGGAAGCAGCCCCAAGCGCTCAGAGGCGGGGCTCCTGGAGCGTGGCTGGACCACAGGGCCTGTACTCAGGGGGCTGAAGCCACTGCTGAGTTCAGTGGCTGAGTGCTGGGGCGGGGCCTGGTGGAAGAGGCGGCCCCAGGAAGGGTTCTTCTCCCTCCCGGCTGCTCCCTGCTTTCTCTGCTTCCTGTCCCCTCTGCCCTGAGCAGCTCCCCTCCGCCAGGCCCCTGCACCCGGCTGTCCTGCCTCGGAGCCGGCCGACCAGGGACTGTAACTCCGCACCAGAATAAGCCTCTTCTCCCACAGGCTGTGGGTGCGCAGTGTTCGGTCTCAGCGATGGAAAGGTGACAGGGACACAGGATTTGCCTCAGGTGCACCCACCTCCATGCCCGGATCTCCTCCCTCTCCGCACGGGCTCTCAGGAACCAACACTGACCGACACCGGCATGGCAAGGGTCAGGAGCTGGTGGCACCAGAAAGTCATGCTAGCCTTGTTTCTGTGACCAAAGGTCACAGTGCAGGAATCCCTTCAACCCTGCCAGGACACGGTGGTGCCTGTGGGAATGGGCAGTGCCTACCTTGGGGACCTCACCACAGCCCCGGACACCCAGCTCTGCCCCTGCCCGGCCCCTCACTCGGTCCCCCCAGGAGAGACCACAGGGCCCTGGCCCCCTCATGCTCTCTGCCTGCTCTCATCCTGCGCCCCAACAGTTGATCTATTTACAATGTGTGCAAGAGAACGCAAGCTCCCTGCACACTCAGGCCCACAGCTGCACCAACCGGCTCTGTCTCCTTCCAGCGCCATGGGGCCGGGCCGCCCACCCTTCTTCTCCTTAAAGGCGCCACTCCCTGTGTACCGAGGATGTGGCTTTCTCCTGGCCCCTCCAAGGGGTTCCTTCCTGCTTCCTTGTCTCCGTCCTCCTCGACTCTCCTCTTAGCTCCTGGCAGGATCCGAGATTTGGGGCCATGCTCTGGGGTGGAGCCCATTCTGGGAGGCCACCAGCACTCCAGGCTCTTAGGACACGCAGGAGCCCGCTCCCTGCTGTTCCCCACAGCGCTGTGGGTCGTGGGCCACAGGAGTCTGGGCTGAGCCCTGCCCCCGAGCCATCTCTTCCGGGCTGCCAGTTCCAGGGACATCCCTGGGCCCCGCGTCCTGTTCCCTGGGCCTCAGCGGAGACCCTCCACCCCCTGGCTTCTCCCCGCCAGCCACCCCAGCCAGACCCCCCTCTCCCTCGCAGCTGGTTGCTCATCTGGATCCTGAGCCGGCCGCGCTGACCCTCTCTGTCCTCTTCCTCCTACTTGCTGCCCCATGACGTAGCACCACGTCAGATCGTAGACGGTTCCTCCCTCTCCATCCCTCCTGCAGCTCCCTTCCTAAAGTTCCTGCTGCGTTTGCCCAGCAGCACTGAACGGTCTTCCTCACAGAGCCCAGGGGCCCCTCTAACATGGAAGCTGGGCCGAGCCACCCCTGCCTCAAACCTGTGACTCCCACCTGCTGGCGTGAGAACAGAACTCTCACTGGGTCTCTCTGGCTTTCCCTCGCTCTCTCTGCCTGCTGCCCTCCCTGGCTCCCATCTACTGCCCCCTTCCCGACCTGGCCTCTTGAGGGACCCCTCCTCAGTGGGGACCTCCTAAGCCTTGGAGCAAAGTAGTCTTCCTCCACTGTGGCTCGGTCCTCTCATGTGTCCTTCTGTCACTGCACCTGCAGCCAGGAGTGCTCACCTGCTCACAAAGGGTCTCACCTGGCACCCCCAGGACAGAGCGAGCTCTAAACAACGAATGAGCGTGTGCCGAGGGAATGCCTATTTCATGCACAGTGTTTGATGGGGAAAGTGAGCTCCCCGCAGAAGAGGAGGTCTCAAAGAAGCCGCCCTCTCTGGAATTTGAAACATGCTTTTTATGGTGCTTTGGGTTTGAGAAGCGAGAAGCTCACATCTACTTCACCCCCTAAGGCAAGAATGACATTGAGGGTCATAGCAATCTTTGCGTTGAATGATAACAAGATCAATCTAAAATTTAAATGAAAAAAAAAAAAACAACCCTTGGTCTGTAAATCTTTGCTCCCTAATTATACCTCCTACAGAAGCTGAATCCCTGCCTGTAGGGCAGAATGCAATGGGGAATTCGAGCATTCAACCTGCTCCTAAGCACCGTCTCTTTCATCTCACCAATGTCACCGATCCAGAAGCCACGGCTATCTCAGGGGAGAAAGGAGGCATTGCGTACGTGGTCCGTGAGCTGCTCTGAGTATTCTCTTTCCTTCTTCTCCACGTCTGCCAGGGTGATGTACCCCGAGTCGCCAGTGCCCAGCATTTCTGTGTTCGACAGTTTGGCCTGAAGTCCCTTCTCCAATTCCTCCAGATCCTGGGAGGGGAATCAAATAAAAAGAAAATCTACCATACTTTCAATTCTAGAAAAACAAATGCTTTCATTTCCCCCACATTATCGGCAAACTTTTCTTAACAATAATTAAATGCTCTGGGTGTTGCCCTGCTTGAGGTTTGATTGATTCAAATTTACTTTCCTCATTAAACACAGAAGCTTGAGGGATTATTTCCTTTTATACTCCCTTCTCAAAAAGACCAGGGGGTACTTAAAAAGCAGGAAAATCATCTTTCAATCATTGCAGAGCTCTAGAAAACGTCATGACATCTACGGGGTTAGGAGGGAAAGTTTCTTCCCTACTCACCTAGTTTCGTGAGGAAAGATTACATGCTACACCTCAGGGCAGGAAATGATGTGTGCACATTGTGGGTGGGTTCAAGAACAGGAAGTGGGCACAGCGACTTAACTTCCACTTTGTTTTTGAGATGCACCAGTTAAGGGAGCTCACTGCTTTGGTGTGATCCAACCCGGAGTGAACAGGGTAACAAAGCCCTGCTTCCAAGGGCAGAAGGCTGAGGGGGGCCCAGTTTCACAGGTGATTAAGCAGGAAGCTGAGCTAGTTCTGAAATCTGGTATGAGAAAGGCCTCCATAATTACTGTGCCTTAAGCCACATGCTCCAAGCTCCCAATATCAGTGAGAAAGCTACATTTCTCTACCTGTCTAATTAACTCTGTCTCTCAACTGACTCTGAACTTAGGAAGAAATGCAAGAGCCCTACGTAGTCCTTCAAACCCAACATGCAGTGTAGGAGATGGATATCTCTTCTCCAGAGCTGTGGTCACTGTCACATGACCTGTGCAGGCGTGGGCTCAGCTTCATTAAGGAAAATAACATGGATACGAACTGCTACTGATAAGCTACACCAAGGGCATATGTGATTTCAGTACTCACAACATCTCTACAAGAGGCAAAGAATGGCTTTTTCCAGATGGGAACAAGATAAATGGCAACTTCACATATTGTATTCTAAGACTTTCAGGCAGGAAGAGACATCCTGCTACTTCTGCATCATGCTACTCCCCTTTTTAAGAGCAGCTGACATTTCGCATCACTTCTTGTCCTTTCCTAGAAGTTCCAAGGATGTTTAGGGCATTAAATGAAATTATACACTTAAAGCACTTGGCTAGAATGTCTCAGAAATAGTAGCCACTATTATAATCAAGTCACTTGGCAGGTATGGTCATGGAAATCTGTGATCCCAGCTACTCAGGAAGCTGAGATAGGAGGATTGCAAAGTTGAGCTTAGCCTGGGCAACTTTGTGAGATCCTGTCTCAAAATCTAAAAAAAGGGGTAGAGGACTGGGGATGAAGCTTGGTAGTACAGCCCAATATCAAGTATCAAATATCAAATATCTGCAAGGTCAAAGAGCTCTGGCAGTAGTGGTAGAGGTGGAATGAGGAGTTGATCTGAGGTCTGCAGATTCCACATCTAATCTTGGCATTAAAACATGCAGCATTATTTCATTATCACTAGCATTACTGTAAATATCATCAACGTTATCATTATTTTTACCCTTGGAAAATCAGTTAAAGCCACTGAGCATCGGTTTTTTTTTTTTGCTGTTAAATAAAAATCATAATGGCCATTCACAGGGATGCCATGAAAATTAAATCGTACATGGGCACCGTGTACACTGCCTGATGGTTATGATGGCGGTTGTGGTGAGGAGGAAGAGGACAATGGAGCTGATGAGGGAGAGGATGATGTGCCCCCATCTTCCCTGAGGTAGAAAAGTGATTCTCCCCATGGAATCCCATGGTTTTAGTGAAGAAACGTCTCCCAGCCTCCACTGTCACGGGGGTGGGAACAAGGCTGATGGTGATGGTGGTGGTGACGGTGATGATGGGGAAGGCATGGCAGCCGTAATGGGGGCGGTACAGATGGTGGTGATGAGGGTAGCAATGACTCCGACAAGGACAAATGGAAATGACAGCAGTGGTGGCGCTGAGGAGATTGGTGAGGGTGATGAAGGTTGTGATGAAGATGATTACGGTCCTTGTTATGCTTTAGATCTAAAATGTCCCTGAAAGTCTCATGTGAGCAGAGATGGGGCTTATGGAGGTGACTGGTCACGGGGGTGCTTCATTCATTAGTGGATTAACCCACTGGTGAGTCCATAGCTGACTATGCTGCTAGGCCTTGGGGCCTGGTTGGAGGTGGGTCCTGAGGCGTGGCCTGGAAGGGTGCGTTCTAGTCCCCAGCTTCCTCCTTCTCTTTCTGGCTTCCTGTTTTCCCTGTTTCCTGGCTGCTTTCAGTTGAGAAGCTTTCTATGCTGGGCCCTTCTGCCTCACTGTTTCTGCTTTGGAATCAGTTGACTATGGACTAACCCCTCAGAACCCATGAGCCAAATAACCTCTCCCAAAGTTGTGGGTGGTTGGTATTTTGTCCCAGCACTGGGAAAGTGACTGATCCAGTGATGATGGTAACGAGAAGGCTGATAACTACACAATGATAGTGATGATGGTGGTCATGATGATAGCAGTGATAGCACAATAAAGATGATGCAGATGGTGCTGATAGTGACTATGGTGGTAGGGCTGTGGTGATAACAGTGGTGACAAGGTTGGTGGCAGCTATCACGGATCACAGTCTATCATTAAGATCTTGTAAAAGACAGGGATACCCATGTTTACAGCAGATTTATAACAGACTTATAACCAATTTATAACAGATAACTTTGAGAAGCAGCCTGTATATATGTAGAAGATGTGGTACATATATACACACATGTAATAGAGTACTCTCCAGTCATCAAGAATGATAAATCTGAGCCATTTGTAGAAAAATGGATGGCTCTTAAGACCACAATGCTGAGAGAAATAAATCAGACACAGGGGCTGGGGATTTAGCTCAGTGGCAAAGCGCCTGCCTGGCAAGCACAAGGTCGTGAGTTCGGTTCTGGTACTGGAGAAAAACCAAAAAAAAAAAAAAAAAAAAAAAAAATCAGACACAGAAGGTTAAATATTGCATGGGTTCTCTCATATGAAAAACCCAAAGATTAAATAATTTAAAGAGCAAAATAAAATAGAGATGGTAGAAAAAAGAAGTAGGTTTTGTGGAGACGGGCAGTGGATCTGGAGATTGGGGGACAGGGGACAGTCAGGAGTACAGGTGAGGATAAAAATGATTAAGATGTGCTCTGTAGATGTCCCAGTTCCCCAGGGTGAACAGTGATCAGGTATTGCAAACACACACCAATAAAAAAGACAAAGGCAGCATTCCCACTGCACCACGGCTGACTTCAAGCCCTGTTTGGGCTGCACATGAAACAATATAAGTTTCTAGAAAAGACCAAGGAGAGTAGTATACAAAGTAGTCGCAGCTGTTATAATCAATAAACATAGTTTATCCTTAAAAATGCCCCAAACTTGTACAGAAGTAACATTCATAGAGGTTGTCTTTCAACAGTGACTATGACAAACACTTGTCTCTTTTGTCTGCTTTGAATATTTTTGCACATTTTTAATATTACATGCTCTTCTTTATGTTTGTATGTATGCTTTTTTACACTATTACATGTTAAAAATCCATACTGTAATAAACTATTTTTGTACTTGAAAGCAAAAGTACTTTCATATCATTGTATCATATGTATTCTATGTGTAGTGAACTATTTTTTAGGTTACTCTGCAAAATAGGTTAATGACTTACATGTTCTTGCTTTGAAAGGATCTTTTGGTGCAATTCATCATCTGACTTCTTCTTAGGAAGAAGGTCCAGGAGGCACATTTTAAAAATCTGAATAAACATCTATTGGTAAAAAGGGGAGGTTAGGAAGTGAAAGGTTTAAACAACAATAACTCTCTCTCCCTCTCTCCTCCTCTTCCTTTCTCTCTGTGTCTCTTTCCCCTCATATACAGGGAGGCTGAGGCAGGAGGATCGTTGCAAGTTCGAGACTGGCCTGTGCTACAAAGTGAGCTCAAGGCCAGCCTGAACTGCATAGTGAGACCCTGTCTCAAAAAGACCAAAAAAAATATGATGAATGTTTAAAGTTCAAAGAAATTATCCCAGTAAAAGACACACTGCCTTGACTCTTCCTCAGAATCCTCCCCCAGCTTCAAACACACTTATCCCACCATACTTCCACTGTCTGCAGCAGTTCTGCAGTCCTGTTTTGCATCTTCAGTGGAGCTGTTGTGACTGTCTTGATGTCCTGAATCAATTCAAAACATGTACCTTTCACTGTCATCTTGACTTTGGGGAAGAGCCAGAAGTCACATGGTGCCAGATCTGGCGAACAAGGTGGATAAGGACAAGTGTTGTTTTACAAGGCGGTCTTTCTCAACACTGGCCAGCAGCTTTCACCATAGTTTTGATCACACCTCATAAAGACACTCAGGAAAGAGGACTTCCAGAACAGCTTCAGGAAACGGCAGCAACAATGCGATAAGGGTGTTTGCAGCAAGAGGCAGGATTTTTAGGGGGATTCATGGCAATGTGTCATTTACTGTAAAATTTTTTTTAAACTTTAAAAATTCACCACATATTTTACTCACCTTCCTACTTGTTTGAAGCAGGGAAAGACTTCTGATTACACATCGGGACAATGGCCTACATGGGTTGCATTTGGGTGACAGTGCTAAAGAATCCTTCACTTCTTTCCCATTCATTTATTCATCAGTATATATTAGGTGCCTACTGTGTGCAAGGCCCCTGGTCCCCATTTTCATAGCAGTCAAGAAAACAGAAAAAACAAAAGGGGTGTTCCTTGTAGAAAGAACCAGAGCACAGGCATACAGAGCCAGGGTGGGTACGAAGGACACTTCCGGCTTCCTGTCTCAACACTGGGGGATCACGAAGGGCCCTGCCAGAGGTGCGGATGCTGGAGAGCCTAAGATGTGTTGTCAACTCCATCCCCGTGCTGCAGGGCCTGATATCACCGCCCAGCCTTCTCTATCTCTGCATCCATCAGGAAGGGAGGGCCACACAGCTGTCCTGATTGGGGAGCAACAGTGGGTGGCTCTATGGCAGCAGGCTGCCCCGAGACCCCTGGGACCTTTCTGCTGGCCAGCTGCAGGGGCTCTGAGGACTGAAGTATCCGGTCCTCCTGGAGAGCACGGAGCCTTTGAGAGAACACTCAGGGTTCCTGTCCCCACGGAGACCAGCTCTGGCCCATGGAAAGCAGCATGTGACGCGTGCCTGGGGACCTCTGCAGGGCGTGACACTGAGGGTAAGGAGAGCAGCTCTATTCTTTGAATTCCAGAGTTGTTTGTGGGTTCAAGCACTGGCACCTGCCTACAGGGCCAGGCCCGCCCACGTGGAGTCTGGCTTCCTCTTAGGTGCACCCCCAGTGGTTCTCTTCTTTCTGGTTTACAGCCCAGGGTGCGGAGCGTGAGCCTGTGCTTCTGCATCCCTTTCTCCACAGCATCCTTCCCCTCCCTTGCCTCTGGAGGTCTCCTTCCTCCTCCAGTAACGCCGAGAGTGCACCGGGGAGGACCTGCTGCTCTTTCCAACTCCAGCAGTCCCGGTACTAAGGCTGCCCGGGCCTCTCCCTGGCTTCCGGTTGCTCAGATCCCGGCAGATTCGCTCAGACAGTAGGTGCATCGGCACCGTAACCCTGTTCTCCTGATGTGCACGCTCTGTGTCCTCATTTATTCACACCGAGCCTCTCCCTCAGCACCCATCTGCAGCTTTCTTTTTTTTTCTTTTTCTCCATCTGCAGCTTTCTGACTCCAGGCAAGTCCTCCCCTCTGCGCCTCAGTTTCCTCCAGTAATAGTGACGGCATCTGCCTCCCTGGCTTGTGGTAAGGTTAACGTAATGACCTGTTTAATACCTCCAGGGTCTAGCACATGGTAGCCACTCGATACATGAGTGCTCATCAATATTGTTAGCACTGTTATCACTCTTTCCAAGGCTTTGTTCTCTTTGGAACAGCTCACCTTCCAGCCAGCGAGTGGCTCAGCCCCAACTCTGGCTACAGTAAGGCCAGGCCCCATCTCCAGGCCCCACCTGCTCCTCAGGGCCAGGCTCCAAGGCCTGATGCCACATGCTCTTTCCCAGACTGCTTCTGTTCACTGAGGCCTCTTTTCCCTAGGGTCTCTGGGGCTCAGAGACACAGAGAGCCTCACTTCCTACTTTTTGACCCCAGGAGAGGGAGAGAAAGCCACATTCCCTACCTACCATGTGCTGCTCCTGCCTCAGTGCTGTATCCAAGCGCTGTAGGTCTTTGAGGTGAAGGTTATAGACACACAGGTCGATGTCTGCACTGAAGGAGTCGAAGAAGTAGAAGAGACGGTGTTACGGTTTAGACCTAGAATATCTCCCCAAAGTCCCGCATGTTCAGAGGCCAGGCTTTTGGAAGGTGATGGCATCATGAGGTGCTACACTCATCAGTGGATTCGTGCATGGAGGAGTTCGTGGCTGAATGTGCTGTTAGGAGGTGTTGGGCTCTGGTTGGAGAAAGTGGGTCACGGGGAACATGACCCAAAAAGCTGCATTCTTGTCCTGACTCCTCCCTTCTCTCTGTGCTTCCTGGCTGCTGTGATGTGAGCGGCTTTCTTTTGCCAGAGTTTTCCTCAATGTTTCTGCCTTGGAGCCAGTACGCCATGGACCAAACCCCTGGAAACTGTGAGTCAAGTAAACATCTCCTCTCAGTCGTGGGTGTTTGATATTTTGTCCCAGCACTGGGAAAGTGACTACTCTAGTGATGATGGTAATGAGAAGACTGATAGCTAAACAGTAATGGTGATGGTCGTGGTGATGGTGATGGTGGTGAGCAAGGGAGGGGATGGTGCTATTGATGGTGGTGGTTGGGAGGATGAAGATGACACTATGGATAGATACGATGATGGAAAGGTGCATATGGCTCTCCTTCATCTTTCTATATCCTGGTCACCATTACACGAGGAGCTTTCCTTCACTAGAACCTACCACCATGCTTTTCTATCTTCGAGACAGCCATGGGCTGCACTCACTGGAAACTGACTTGAATAAACCTCTCTTCCTTCGAGTTATGGGTGTTGGGTGTTGCGTCCCTGTTCTGGAAAAGGGGCTGAGATGGAAGGTCAGCATGTGTGTGGGAGGAGGGAAGGTCAGTGCTCTGTGGAGTGTCCTGGCCTTTGCTCTGCAATGCTCTTGCTCCTCACACCCTCTGAGGGTCTCAGGAAGGAGGCCAGCCAGCTGCTGGACACACCGTAATGATCAAAGTGAATGATGTCAGCCTTCCATGTGCTCCCTGGAAGGCAGCTATGCTCACCACTGTACCACCAACGCAGACCTATGTCCTCCCTGGACCACTGTCCCCTCTGTCACCACATGGTCTGTCCCCTAGCTGCCATTTCACAGATGGGTAAACAGACGCAGGGAATGGAGCGCCTGAGATGTGAAGTGATGGCCACTGTCTTAGTTACTCTTCTCTTGTTACTGGGACAAAATACCTGACAGCTGAAATTAAGGAAGAAAAGGTTTATTTAGCTCAGTTTGTGGAGGTTTCAGTCCGTAATCAGCTGGCTCCAAGGCAGAGTGGCACATGGCACAGGGACAGCACTTCAGTGTGGCAGAAGACAGCAAAAGCAGCAAGAGCAAAAAGGGGAGGGCAAGCCTCTTTCCCTTCCTTACACTGTAATCAGGCTACCCAACCCAGGGTGGGTGCAGCACTCACACCATCTCTGTGCCCTCCTCTGGCACAGGATGAGGATGTGCACAAAGAGAGGCCCCTGGCTCCCTGCTGAGTCTCTTAAACTTCTAAGCTTCTAAACTGACCCAGTGAATCAAACATTACAGCACACAGTCACCTTTCTGGACCTTTTGTCCCTCATAGGCAGACACATTTTAAATGACAAATGCTGAAGAACAGCCGTTGCATCCCAGGGCTGGCCTCTTCACCCTCCCTGGAAGCTCCCATTCTACAGCTCCTTCCCTTAGGCCGCTTTCAGGGTCTACATGGAGTTCAAAGCCCTGGACCCACCCCTTCTGCAGCTCTGAGCTGAGCCAGGCCTGGCTCACTCAACCCAGGGTCCTGGGACTTCACAGCAGAGCAGCCTAAGGACCCAGCCTGCTCTGAGCTGAAGCTTGATATGGAGCACAGGTTTTGGAGATGAGGTGGCTGGGTCAGTAAAACTCCATCCCTCTCTGCTGTGTGTCCTTGGGGAAGTCACTCAGCCTCTCTGTGTCTTGCTTGTGTCTCTGTGAAGTGGGGGAACTATCGGCATCTTGCTCCTAGGGTTGTTGGGGCAATCACTCATTGCGTCCTATTTATGTACCACAGAAGCTGGCCCAGGTTGCCCTGCTGGGCAACAGGACAGACTTGGGCCTTGTGTTCATATGGTCATTGCTCCCATCAGCACTCAGCATGGGCCCTGTCCTCTGAAGGTGCCCATCACTGCCTGCCGCTGCTGCTGCAGTGTCCAGGCCACACCCGCGATACGCAAGATCCCTTTGTCTCTCCCAGGGTGCAGCCTGATTCTGTCACCCAAGCATTGATCAACACTGCATCTATGAGTGACAAGAGCACCTGGGATCCCGGTTCTGGCACTTACTGCTGTGTGCCCCTGGAGGAGTCCCTTAACCTCTCTGGGCCTCTGTGTCTGCCTTGACCTCTAAGCTCTGTGCCCTTCCCTATCCAGCTGGCTTACCTTTCACAGGCCAGCACCTCGGGGAAGCTGCTCACTTGCAAGAAAGCGTGGCACAGCAGCCTGTCCTCGCTGGCGGCGGAGCGGGAGCTGCAGGAGGAGCTGCAGTCACCCTTCTCGGCTGGGCTCAAGCTGCCCAGGCTGCTGGAGGGTGAGGGTCCGGCTGGCTGGTGTGGCAGGGCCGCTGGCCTCAGAGTCTCGTGCAGGGATGGGTTGGAGGAGCCGTCAGCCAGAGGCTGGTGACAGAGTGGCCCGTTAGTCTGGGGACGCACGGCAGGTGCGCTCCACAGTCCCAGGGGTGGCAGGGCCTGGCTGCAGCAGACTGCTTGTTCCCCAGGCTCACAGCCACAGCCGGGGACTCAAATCATAGCTCATTTGTCCCCATGTGGCCAGCCCCTCTGCGCCAGGCTTCTATCTCAGACCATCACCTGGCTCCATCCCCAACACCCACCTGCACCCCTATCCAGCGGCCCACCTGACCTCTCCCAAGGCAGCCTCCTGCCTGCTGGGCCTTGTCTCTGTCCCCCGGCCCACAGACCTGGTCACCTACTCTGCTCTTCCTCTAGGGAAGCAGAGTCACCCTCAGACCCAGGCCTTGTTGTGGCTTCTCTGCCCTTCCATGGCCCCCAGTGTCACAGCCTCATTTCCTGCTGCCCAAACTGAGCTGGCCGCGCTGGTTCTGCTCCAGACCCTGCGGCTATGCTTCCTTCCGGGTCTGGAACAGGCTTGCTCCTTGTTTGCTGGGCCGAACCATCCCTCCCTCCCTCTCTGCACCAATCTGGGTCTGGGTTCCAGGCTATGTGGCCTGTTTTATCACCCGTTGGATCTGCTGGACCCTGAGGCACTCCCAGCTACAGGAAGCCCCAGGACCCCTGCAGGCTTCCCAGTGGGCTCAGCAGTGGTTGCTGCTGATGTAAAAACACACCCCACCCACCCACAGCACAGTTAAGTGAAGCGCGTGGGTCCCAGTGTGTTTTGGGCAACAGTTCGCTGAGCTATACCTAGTTAAGTGTTCTGTGGAAACATGTCTTGCCACAAAACCTTTGTCCAGGACTGAAAATCACACATTTAATCCCTTCACCCCCGCTCCAAACCCTAGGAGATTCCTGAGTTAACTGCATGTCTGAGAAGGAGCTCAGAACTCTCACCCGGAACTTCTGATTGATGGGGTAGATGACCTTGGCCTTGAGAGCAAATGCTGTGAGGCTGCTGTTGAAAGGTGGCTCACATTCCTGGGAAGGAGAGAGAATAAATGGCACGGGAGGCTTTCAGTAAAATGCGGGACGAACTGCCAAGAGTTTCCAAAGTGCCGTAGCATGCCGGGCTAATTCGAGCAGTAGCTTCAAGATGAGACCACGGTAAGCCCATTTAGACCCATGTAGGTATACACTTCACAGGGGGATGGTGGGTGAATAGGTTGAGATGGACAGCAGGGCATGAATGGGCATGTGGATGGATGGGCGAGTGGATGGACAGGCAGATGGATGGATGGATGGATGGATGGATACATGGTAGAGGGATGGATGGGTAGATGGATGGGTGGACAGATGGGTGCTCAAATGGATGGGCAGGTGAATAGAAAGAGGAACAAAATATGGATGGAGAGAGGGAGGGAAGGATGGGTAGACAGGTGAGTGGGTGGTTGGATGGAGGCCTGGATGACGGATGTGTGAGTGGGTATACTGACAAATCCTTGGACAGATAGACAGTATCATTTAACTCTGATTCTTCAGCTTTGGAAGTAATAAGGATTTTAACAACTTGATACTAATTAACAAGAGTTTTTTTTGAAGAACTGTGAATCATCTTTAAATGGAAAAAGCAAACCCACAAAATACTTTAAGGTAGGAGGAGTTAGTCCTAGTGTTCTGCAGCACGGTAATTAACTGCAGCCAACAACAATTGACAATGTATTTCAGAACAACTGGTGCAGCGGGCTGAAGTTTCCTAGCACATCGAAATGAAAAATGTTGCAGAGATGCAAATGCTAATTGCCCTTATCTGATCATTACAGATAACAAATTGTCATACGGCACTTTGTAAATATGTACAATGATTGTCAATTGAAAATTTTTAATAAAAAGTTTTAACACTGCTAGGGTATAAACACATGGGGCAACATTCACACAAGATTCTGGATTATTAAAGAAGGGGCTGGGCTGGTCTTTGAACTTCATGCAGCCTCTGTCTTCCCAGGCAGTAAAGAGCTCTAGGTCCCCAGGGACTGCAGGGACCAAGTGCCCAGCTGAGGGTTCGGAACAGCGGCCCTGAGCCCCAGGCAGCTGCTGTAGCTCTGGTCACGAGATCCTCTCCCCCTGCTGAGAAGTCTCCCCTGACTACAGCAAGACAGACTGATCCCCACCTTGGCCTCTGCCCCGCTGCCTCTGCGCCCCTCTCTCCCACAGCTCCCCTCCATCCCCTAATCCCTGCTTGGGAACCAGCAAGCTGGGGAGTGACGACAGGAGGCTGGCAGCACAGATCCACCCTCCAAGCAGTCTCCTCAGACATCTGCAGGCCTAGTGGGAAAAACAGAGGTGGTTTCTAGCCTTGCCCCGACGGAAGAGCTGCAGAGAATGTGACCTCTCCAGCTGCCACGGCCACCCTGGAGCAGACACGGCACAGCGCTTCATTCATCTGTGGCTCCCACTGGGGGGCTGGCAGAGGAGCCACGAGCCACAGTGCGGGCTGTATACAAAAGCTGATCAAACCTCCAGTGAACGGCTAAATAAAATGTTTGCGGTATCACAATAAAAGACGCTTCGCCGTGAATCCTGCTCACAGTCCTCCCCCTCATGTCCAGCACGCTCATCCTATGGTTCTTGCCACTTTCTGAAGCAGTTCTGGAGTGCTCTTTCCTGAGGGTCTTTATGAGGTGGGATTAAAAAAATACAGTGACTGCTGCTGTCCAGCGCCGCCCAGTGGAAAGGCAGAGAAGAGCATGATGCCGTGTCCTCATCTGACCTACTCACCGGATCTGGCACCACGTCACCTCTGGCTGCTCCCCAATGTCAAAATGACCATGAAAGGGAAATGTTTTGAGTCAACTCAGGGCACCAAGGCAGCCAGAAAAGCACAGCTAAAGACGCGCAAGAAAGAGGGATGCAGAGCTGCTTTAGAAAGCGGCAATTACCACGGGATGAGTGTGCTCCGCACCGGGGGCAGTCCTTTCGGGGGATTCACTGCAATGTGTCTTTTACTGGAGTAATCTTGCCTCAGCCTCCCACAGTGCTCTGTGCATTTTAAAACTTCTTACAGAGGCGAAAAGAAACAAGAGGAGGAAAGAGGTGAAAGACAGGAGGAAAGCCTGGCCTCTGCTTTCCTGGGTGCATCTGCCAAAGGGGAGACGATAAAAAGAAGTTGCACTTGGTGTGAAAAACATAAAGGGAGGAAACGCATTGGAGCTGGGCCAGCTGGGCCCCACGAAGCAGCACCAGGGGACGGGAGCCCAGGCTGGGAACTGACGCAGTCTTGATGGTGGCTCCACCCCGTGGACATCTGAATTCTCCACCCCACGTTGCCTGCAGCCTGCCGTGTCCTGAAGGGCAGGGCCTGAGGAGTGTCATGGCCCTGGCGGGGGAGGAAGTGGCCAGGAGCCCTTGGCACGAGGGAGTAAGGACTGAACAGGTGTCTGCTGCCCAAACGGGATAAAGGACTTTAGCTTTTCAAAGCTGTCCTAATAAAGTTCAGCATCCACCAAATTCGGAGCCTCCCCTGCTGAGGAAATAGAATTACCCAGAAAACTGGTTGTAGCACAAATTTGCGATTCAGCTGAAGCAATGCAATTATTCAGAAAATTGGTTAGAGCATAATTGTAGGAGAAAAGCTATTTTGCTCACCGACATAAAGGTGTTGTTTGCAGTGCATGCATAAATGCACCCCGCATATCTCAGTCCCCTCTGCCTCCCTCCCTCTGCAGCAGAGGCTTGGGATGGAGAGCCAGGCCGTGGGGAATTCCAGAGCCCATGGAATTCCCTGTGCAGTTTTGACTCATGGGAGATACTCATTAATCAGAGGGCATGCAAGGAGTGGCAGGGACCAGACTGCCCCGCTCGGCTGTGTACTGGCATATAAGCGAGTTCGTTTAGATCAGCCCTGCCCCACTGGAGTCTGCAGAAGGAGGCTCTCTGTCCAGCCAGCCAGCTAACAGGCCGAGCGCTAACTTCGCTTTGGACAATTATTAGCTTGGTAAGGAGCACCTGCTTGGCATAGCTGAATAGTTAGCAAGTAAAACATTAATCACTAGGCACAAAAAATACGAGTTAACCATTCAGGGAGTAGAAAGATGTACATCCCCTGCAAATAAGGGTGGGAGGCACATATTACAGAACCCAGCCCTAGGGATGCCACAGAGGAAACCACCGTGACCTTATTGTAAAAGTGAGACATCTGAGGCCCAGGCAGTGAAGTTTCTTACCCAACATCACGTAGTAGATACCCAGCAAAGCGGAGATGGGGTTTAAGGCTGGAAGCCAAAGCCAGGACTATTTCTGTCCCTGTGAAGCTTCCTCAGTATGAGTGTAACTGTTTCTTATTGATAGCATTCATATATCTGCACTGTACAATTCACTCGTGTGCAGTATATCATTTGATAGTTTTCACTATCTTCCCAGAAAGGTGTGACTGTCACACCTCTCTGTCACCAAGGCCAGTTTCAGAAATGTTCACTGCGTCAGAGAGAAACCTTGATAGCAATCACCCCACCATCCCTCCCGCTGCCCCAGGGCCAGGGAACTGCTGTCTACTTTCCCCACAGTTCTGGACATTTCCTATGAATGGAATCCTGCCAGTGGTGGTTTTCTGTGACTTTCACTTAACAGAATGATTTCAAGCCTCTTCCACAATGTACAGTAGCATCTGTCAGTGCTTTATTCCTTTTTATTGGCAAATAATATTCCTTTGTGAAGCAGTATGACCACACTGCATTTACACTACTGTCAGTCAATGGCCATTTGGGTTCTCTCCCCATTTTGGGTGCTGTGGACGGCACCGGCAGAACACAGAGGTCCATGCTGTATGGACATCTGGCTCCTTTCTGTGGGCAGGGCTTTAATAGTAAGGCAGAAGGACGGGGGAGAGAGACAGACAGATAGACACCATACCGGGGACTCACACACTGTCACAAGGAGACCTCCTAAGCTCCCAGACCCCAGAGACACATGTGGAGTCAGGGACTGAGGGTGTGCAGAAAGACGCACTGACACACACAGACACACGTGCAGGGACAGACACGGGAACAGAGAGAGGAAACGGGAGTCAGGGACAAGCAGCACCTGGGAGGAGGGGCAGCCCTGCTCCAGGAGCTCAGAGAGCTCGTTCTCCATCTCTGTGACCTCCAGTTCAGCTCGGGGCCACCCTCACCTCCACAGGGCCCTGTCAACACCTTGCGGACAGCCCTGGCAAGCACAGGTGGGGTGACTGAGCTAACCGGCAGCTGAGCCCCCAGTCTCCGACCTCCAGTGAAGTTCCGTATGCAGCACCGGCCCCTGTCCTCAGAGGTCAGCTGGGACTATGTAATGAGAGGACCCTGATGCAAAGTGGCAGACGCAGATGGCATGGGGACAGCAGCACTTGCTGGGCAGAGGCTAGATAGAGCCAGGAACAAATCTTAGCTGGCCACTCCCCAGCTGTGGGACTCAGAAAAGCACCTATGTTCCTGAGCCTCAGTTTCCTCATTTGGAAAATGGGATCATGAATAAGAACTACATGAGATAATCCAGAGGGCTTTACAGTACTCACCGAGGAGACAGGAACAACTGCGTGGCATCAGCAGGCGCTAAAAGTGCCACTTCCACCTTTTCCTTCCCAGGAGACAGGCCTGCAATGCTTTTCAGGGCACCAGCAAAAGAGCAGAAACGTCACACCCTCCCCACCCATGGAGCTCCCCAAGGACAATGCCCTATAGGTGCAGGTTAAGCCGTGTGTGGATCCTGGAAGGAACGGGAGGACTCTGGCTGTAGTTTAACATCCTGCCAGGGGCCCTGCACTCCTTCCCAAGATATTTCCTTAAAGAAAACAAGGTGAAAAAAGACTTCCATGCAGATGTCCATGGCACCCTTATGCATAAGAGCCAAATATGGCGATCAACAGTGTCCAGCAAGCACATACCTACCAAGCTGTGGGTGAGAAACCACGCAACCGACCACTGCTGAGCAACAGAGAAAGATCAGCTACAAAAGTGTGCACCAAGACAAGGAAATCTCAGAAGTGCGCTGTGGTGGGAATGCGCACACACAGAGCACAGGGTTCCATGCACATCAAGGTCTAGGTCAGCAAAACCCACCCATGAGTTTGGGAACCACAGCCAGGGATGCCTCCGCAAGTGTGCACACAAGGAATTGACCAGTTGGGGGCGCTAGGGAGCCTTCTGGGTTGATGAAAACACTCTCTATGGGGGTACTGGTTCCCAGGGTGTAGGCATTTGTTAAAACTCATCAAACTTTGAACTTCAAATCTGTGCATTTTACTGTATGTAAATGATGCCTCAAAGAGGAAGCCTAACGGGAAAATATACCTGTCAGAGATGGTGGCATGACATCAGGCAGGCTACTCAACACCCAGGGTGCACCAGGGCAAACAGATAAGACAGGAGGCTTACCTCTACAGGCTCCTCATCCTGGGGGATCTGCGTTTCTGTCTTCCTCCTCCTTGATGATGGGGAGTCAGCTTCTGAGGGGCTGTGTGCATTAGGCTCCAAATTCTTGAGCAGACATTGAGTGTCGTCTTTCTAAACCCAGAGGGGTGGACAGAAATGCGATAGTAAAGTTAAGCAACCCAGGTTGTCTTGCGTGGGGCTTTAGCCAACCCAATCGCCCACTCAGAGGTTATTTCTGCTCATCTCTGTGTGCCCTGCTGTCTGACTTAGCCTTCGAGACTGCCGAGGTCACCTTGCTGAGAAGGCCCCAGAGTTCCCCACAATGCTCATCTCTATGTACCCCAGGATAAGGAGGCCAGAGCCTCCTGAGATGCCACATCTAAAGGAACCCCTAGGACTCAGAGGCCAGACTTGGAGCAAAGCAGCTTTCATTTCTCTTCTGGTTTGGCTGTGGCCCCCAAAGGACCATGAACTCCCTGAAGATGTCTGCTTTGCATTGACAATGATACATGAATATTAATTCTCCTGTTGTTTTGAACAATGTCACTGATTGAGTTTTAATAAAAGATCTGAAGTTACCTTAAACTACAAGGGTGTTTCTATTGCGAACCATAATCATGTGGATTCTGCATTTGCGAACTCATTTACTGGCTAAAATGCATTATTAACCAAAGGGCTGGGTGCCTGAGGGGCTGTCACAGTCAGATACAGACACATGCAGGGCGTAGAAACTCAAGAGTGGCTGACTCTCATGCTCAGTTGAGGAAAAACAAAGCCTGGTCCTCTCCTTTCACACCCGTCGCACTCTGTAACAAATGTCCTTCCTGCAGCCTAACTAAGGTACCAGGTTTTTGCAATTTTGTGTGTTTTGTAGGTGCTTTTCCTGTTTGAAGCTGTCCCCAGCTGTGGTGCTAAAGTGCTGTCTCATGCTCTTGGGTGCAGAGGGTTGTGATGAGCTCAACAGCGATGAGGAGCTCAATGGAAATGATGAGCTCAACAGAGATGATGAGCTATTCAGGCCAAGTTTAGTGCCACTAGCTGTAAGCACAATGGTGGCCATCAGCAGCATGTACTAAATGAGGGTCTTTAAATAGAAACACCCATAATACAACATCCCAAAAGGTGGATTAATAAGAATGTTGTGACCAGAGTCTCAAAGGACCTAACCAGGCTCTTCCCCTAGGGGCAAAGGTTCTGCATTCACCAGTTCAGTGACCTCAGTAACTCTGATGAACATAACCATCATAAATAGTAAGAATGGACTGTATTTAGAATTCTGCTACGGCAGAGTCACTCGCATCTCCCTCTTTGGCCACCAGTTGCTCAAAGATATAATTTTTGCACAAAGTAAAATTATTGGATTATTGGGTTAGTCAGCAACTATCTCTGCGCATCTAATAAGCACCAAGCCTTATTCCAAGTCCTGTGAATGGTCATGAATATACAAAGCCCCTGCCTTCCAGGAGCTGACATTCCAGGAAGAGAAGAAAGATATAGACAAATAAGTATGCAGCACGGTGGGGGTGATAAAGAAAGATATGGAGGTGGGAGAATGGAGAATGACTGCAGGGAAGTCTCTCAGATAAGGTAGGTTTAAAAACATTAATAGAAATAAGGGAGTGAGCCTTTGAGATACCCAGAGAACAGCATTCAAGGAAGTGGGAACAGCAGATGGACGGCCCTGGGGCAGGCACAGGCCCAGCCCATCTGGGGAGATCTATGTGTCTGGAGCACTGTGGGGTGGGTCTTGAGGTAGAGTTAGTAGACATGGCCAGATATTTTGGGTTTGTTTGTTTAGCAACTGTAGCTGACTAGTACAAGAGTTCTGTAAGGAAGGACCTGATCAGATCCTCCTATAATAAGACCCCAGAAGAAAACTCCTCTGGTCCCACAGGAGATCCGGAGTTTAGAGATACCCTTAAAAATGATCAGGTGGCCAAGAGGCTCTAGCTGCTCTTATCAGAACAGTAAAATCCAAAATAAACAAAAGGACAAAGCAAGCATGAACCAGATACTACATAGGGAAAAGAAAAAACACACAACAGCAATAATATCCTCAGAGAGATGAGAGAAGATATCCTACAAGACACGAACAGCATAGTGTAAACTGAGGATTTTGAGAACGAATGAAGAGCTCAAATGCTAAAATTATGTAATGGATAAAGAAACTGTGATATTTACATACAATATAATGCTACTCTGCTATAGAGAAGATTGAATTTGAGCCGTGTGCAGGAAAATGGATACAACTTGAGATCATAATGTTAAACAAAACAAATCAGACACAAAGCTTAAATACTGCATGGTTGCTCTTCTATGAGAAACCCAAAAAGTAAAGAAAGAGCAAAATAAAAGACAGGTCAGAAGAAACAGGAAGAGAGATCTTTTGCATGGGGAGGGGCCAAGAGACAGAGAGAGGGGAGGAGAAAGGTGGGGGGAAGAATTAAGATGTGCTATGCTCAGGCACCAACTCCCCACGATGAATGCAATCACTATGTACTCCAAACGTGTACCAAAAAAAATAAGAAATAAAATTACGGAATACTCAATGACAAGGATGAAGAAAATCCTGCCAGGAAGTAGTATTTTGCAAAAAGATATAGAGATGAGGTATTGGAAAGAATAATATACTTAGAGGTCTCAAGCACAATAGGGGTTTTTGAAAGAAAGAACATGTAAGAAAAAAGGAATCTTCAAGGAAAGCAAAAAATAACAAAAACAAAACAAACAAAAAACCAAGTTTCTAGAATGCAAGATCCTGTCAAATGCCCAACTCATGGGATGACAAGAGACTTTTACCAAAACTCATCCTGATGCAACTTCATATATTGGGGGGGAGGAATAGATTCTTTAATATTCTGTAGATGAACAAAAGAAAAAGAAGTTTCGTGCACGGTATCAAGAATCAGAACAGAATTAAATTTCTCAACACTAGCAGTGGAAGTTCGTAGAGAATATCTTCAAACTTGAGGTGGAAAATGGAATTCCTTACCTAATGTAAAAAGTATAAAGATGAGAGAATAAAGACGTTTTCAAAAGAGTTGCATCTATCCCCTGCTCAGAAAGCTATGGAGGTGGGATACAAGGATATTAGTGGAAGAAGACAAATGCTAGGGATCTCTGAAACAGGAGCCAACCAGAAGAGCGGAGGGAGCCTCAGCATAGTAGCCCGGAGAGGTCTTGGTGGTGTCATTGATGGCCCAGAGCAGTTTGCTTCTCAAAATCTAAGAAGAAATTCACGGGAGGACTTGCTAATTCCAGCTTGCTGTGTGTCTGGGTGGGGACCAGGGCTTTGTGTTCTCATGTTGCTGTTGCTGATCGGCTGTCTGTTTAGAGAAGAGCTTATTCCAATTGGGGCATGTCAGATGTTTCTGGGAGAAACAGACTTGTTTAAAAAAAGAAATGTATCTGTTAAGAAGATAAAACTGATCAAATACCTTATGAGTTCAACTGTTTTGAAAAGAAATGGGCACAAGTGAAGGAGAGCTCAGTGTTAAATGAAGGATAAGCACACAGGATCCAAACAAATAAAAAAAATCTGGTAACTATTAATTTCAGGGAAAAGAAATATTTTACAGAAAGGAAGGGAATCATAATGACATCTGACTGCTGACTTACAGAGAGCAATGCTTATGAATCATGATAATGGAAACACCGCACTGATTTAACCCAAATTACCCTCTAAGCGCACAGTGCTATTGGGAGGGGTGGATGTTCTTATGAACAAGGGAGGATGCTAAGTCCTACTACCTTCCTGCGTGGGAAGTCTGTGGCTATTTCCTAAACTGAAAAATGCAAACAGCAGCAATGTAATTGAGTGAGTTAGAGATGGGAAGCAATTTAACAGAGGAGCCAGCTGAAAGAGTTGTGCACACTGGCTCGAGAGAAGTGGGAGTGAGGGGTGGGTGTTGCTGCTGGCCAACTGTCACTTTGTATACATGGGTAACTTTGATGCAAACTAAGAAGTTGCAATGATAAAACAAATAAAACAAAAGAAAGAAGAAAGGAAACTGGTACAATTATAAGCTATGGGACTTGGACCAAAAAAGAACAGGAATGCCCAGGAAGCAGGAGGAAGCATTCTGTCCTAGAAGGCATGGTCAGCAGAGCTGCCCCAGGCAATCTGCCCTCTGAGTCCTGAGACTGAGATGAACACAGGTGGAAGCGACGACGTGCAGAAGTGCAGAGGAGGCACCCAGGGAACAGTGATTCTCACCGGGTGGGCCCCCGGAGCCTGTGTGCGAGGCTGGGTATTTGGGAAGCTTAGGTAGGCCGCCTGGTGCCTCATGCCATCCTCCCTGTAGGCAGCAAAGCACACCTGGAGCTTTGCATCAGGACAGCCGTACTGTCAGCTGTGCATTCTAGAGACAGACTGGGGAGTAGAGACCGGAGGAAAAGGGCTCCGGCAGAAAGGAGGTGGTTTCAAAGGTCACACCCAAACCATAAGAAAACCCATCACCCTATCACTAGGCCAGAGCCCCTCCACAGCCACCACCCTGGTCTGAGTCACTGCCACCCTTGGGTGACCAGCAGCCCCAACCCAGACAGTGTGGTTACACGCAAGCCTTTCCTCCCCTCTGGGTCCAAATCATGCCCCGAGCAGACAGCAGGCGGTGGAAGCTCTGGCTGGAGGCTCATTCCAGCCCTGAGGTTGGTTCATCACAGAATCCCGGAGCAAGAGCGACCTTGCAGACTTCAGTCACTTGGCTGTCAAGTGAAGTAAGGATAGCTCCTGCTTCCCTGGCTTGGAATGGGATAAAGGAACACACGCCGGGAAACAGTGGCTCTGCCATTAGACACAGAGCTGCCATTTTGGCAAGTCACTTAACCCCTCTGTGCCTCAGTTTCCTTATCTGCAAACCGGGATCATCAGTGGACCCCATTCAAGGCTGTTGGTGGTCGGTGAGATAGTTCAGGCAGAGATTCTAGCTCAGAGCTTTGCTCAGGACTCAGAAATGCTGGCATTACTATTTCTCCCTCAGAATTCACCACGTGATGCTATAATCGGTGTTTACTTGCGTCTGCCTCCTTCTCCGGGCCTGGACCTCAAACCGGCAAGCACAGGGTCGCTCCTGCTCACCCAGGGAACATCCAAGGCCCGGTGGCACACCCTTAGCACCCTGTTGCTTGCAGGGATGGGCGAATGGAAGAACCCAGCCAGTGACCAGGGGACTCAAGAGGAGCCACAGAACAAGGGACTCTCCGAAGCATTGGTGGGAGACTGGGGGGGGGGGCACCACAGCCCTCCTCGGTCCTCCACCCCCGGCTGGGGCGTCTGCCAGCATCGTGTCTACACTCTCCCGCCTACAGATGAGGAAACTGAGGCCCAAGCAGGCTTCTGGGCTTACGCGCAGTAGTACACTCTGTCTCTTCCGCGGGACCGCATGCCCAAACCTTTCGGTCACTCAGCCGCCTTGCTCTGAAATCCCTGCCCCGGGTCCCTCCCACGACCCGACCCGGACAAAAGGGGAGCCCGAGGCCGAAGCGGTCACGTGAGAGGCACCCGGAGGTCGCGCTCTAGGGAGGCTCGGATCCCCACCCGCACACCCACCTGGTGGCGGAGGAGCAGGCGGCCAGCGCGGCGACCGAGCCAGAGGCCGAGGCCGAAGCCAAGCGCAGCGCCCAGCAGCACGGCAGGGACCAGCAGCGCGGGCACCGGGCGCAGAGCTTCCCGGCCGAGCAGCAGGCGCGCGTCGCTGTCGCAGGCCGCGCCGCGGGCCATCGGGGGCGCTCAGGCGGGGGACCGGCCGCATGCTGCCGGCCGCCCCGCACTGTCCTGGCCTGGCTCTGTACCCCCCAGCTTGGCGACAGGGGTTGCAGGGCTCCGGCGGCCCTGGCCCAGGGCGCCGCTGACTTTCTGGCGGGCGCAATCCTTTCGCTGGTCCTCTCCACTTTCCCGGATCCGCCAGAAAGCGAGGGAGGAGCCTGCGCCGACAGCCCAAAGCTTTGAGCCGTCCCCGCCCCAGCCCTCTTGTGTACTGAGCATGCCCGGCGGCCAGAGGCCTCCTCACAGCCTTTAGGACCACGCTTCTGCAGGGAGCCCCCATCCACCTGGGAATCACGGCCCCTTTGAGTTTACAGAGCGCTCACGATATGCGAAGCAGTTAGCCCGATGCCCAAGCTAACTTTCCTCCCAGCCCTTCGAGACGGGAGCTGGTGAACGGCCGTGCTTCCCAGGGGGAGGGAGCTCAGAGTCAGAGCCCGGAGGCAGGGGCGACCAAGGCCCCTGCGCCTAAGGCCCTTGTGGGCCTTCCTGGGATTGCACAGCCCACAACGGTCTCTGAACGTGGCCTGAAGACTCCTGTTTCCTCCCACGAGGGCCAGCGCTTTGCCTGGCAGAGCTGAGAGCCTGCATGGTCATCCCATCACGGGGCGTTGGTGGAGAATCTGCTGGGTGCTCCCAGCCAGGCCAGGCACACACGAACCAGAGGAGGCACCGAAGTTCTCCAGGCCGTGCAGGAAAGAGGATTAGTTGAGTGCTTCATCCTGTTCTTTTAAGCACGCGTTGCTCAGCTGGTGCTAGCCATTCTCTGGGAACTGGAGTGCAGCAGCGAAGGCATGGCTGCATGCACACACACACACACACACTCTTACATGCACATACTTCTGCTCTTATTTCCTGGAACCTGGGGCAGGGGGCCCTGGGGGCAAGGCTGCACCCAAGAGCACTCCTCCGCTGAGTGGCTGTGCTCTCAACCTGGACATCCTGGATGACCTCCTGTCTGTTTCCTCGTCTACCTTTCTAGGTGGAAGAGATGGGAACTATTTCCTAATTCTTCATCCTCCACACAGATGAAGAAGTGGACAGCGGGGGAGCAGCAGTGACTGTTCAAGCTCTTGCCACTGCAGACAGGGTGTGCTCACGCCTGGGTGTGCTGCCCCCCTGTGCTCTGAGGAGCTTCTTAGGTGTTCCCTGGCTTCCTAGGCGTCCCTTTGAAGCATCGCCATGGTTCCTGGGGTCACCTGTGTGACAGTGACCTGGAGTTCTTGCTTTGTGCTGGGTATTTCTTTGGCGCTCAGGCTTTGGTTTTAAAATGCAGTGTTCTTTGCATTTACCTTATTTTAAAGCTGTTCGGATGTTAAACTCCTTCTTGGCTCACCGCCACACTGGTGTTCCAAGACGCCTGGCACGCACCCTCCGGGCTTGTCTCAGCCCGGCATGTGGCTGAGGGCCCCCAAGCCAGCACACGCAGAGTGAGCAGCTGGGCTAACAAATTCTCAGACCCTCCAACCCCACCACCTTGTCCGCATCAGGTCAGGCAGGCCTGCCCTTGGAGGGGAAAGGGGTGGCCAGGTGCGGAGCTCTGTGCAGGAGGCCGCAGACTGCAGGAGTGGAGGAGGGGCTGGCAGAGGAGGAGCACCCTTCCAGGAGAATGCCCAGAACTGTCACCCGGGCCCCGGGAAGGGACGAGGAGGAGACAGGAAGCCCCTCCAGGGCCCTGTCCCGCTCCTGAAGGGCTCCGAGGGCTTTCTGGTTCTCTCCAGAGGTGGCCCAGGGCCAGGCTTCACTTCCTGCCTCCCTTGGCCGTGTGGTGGGTCTGAGGCTCGTCCACCGAAGGGCTGGGCAGGGTGCAGGACTGGAAGGGGCTGAACCCAACAGGAAGTGAGGGTCGCCTTTCCTCTCTGCCGTCCCTCCCCCTCCGCGCAGCCCTGTCTGCTCTGACTTGGGGCCCGCCTCTCCAAAGACTGTTGTTTTCCACAGCGCTGATGGCGGTGGTGAGGTTGGCGGAGATCCGAGGTTTCTGTGCACCGGGGAAGATTTCTTAAAGGAGGGGAGACAGAGCTGAGATTTAGCGACCCAGTATGGGTTCGTGGAGGGGTCTTGGGGGCCGAGAGCGACTCGATCTGGTTTGGTTACTGTGGGATCCCGGGTGGGGCGCAGCAAACCCCGCGCGGCCTCCGCGCGCCCAGGTTCGCCCCCAGGGCCCCTCCCCTGAGCGCCCGCGCCTCCCGCTGGGCGCGGAGCCCCAGATGAGCTCGTTCCAGCCAGCAAACTTTCGGGCGCCCGCACTGAGCATGCTCGGCGGCGGGGCGGGCCCGGGGTCCGGAAGCTCCGGCGACTCCACCGGGCTCACGGGCCTGGGGTCGCGGTCCCCCGAGCTATGGTCCCCGCGGGCGCCCGGGGTCGCGCCGCGTGGGTGCTGGCCGGGGGCGCTCTGGCCGTGGCCCTGGCGCTGGGAGCACCGTCCGGACCGCAGGTAAGGAGGGCCCGACCCAGTCCCGGGAGGACTCGACGCTGACCGTCTACACCCGCGGCCCTCCGTGTTGTCTGAGGATCAGGAAGGGAGGGCGGGGTGTGAATGCGATGCCGAGGTTTCTCGGGTGCATTCCGCGTGTATCCAGGGAACCCCGAGGAAAAAGGGAGGCTCCGTGCGGGGGTGGCTGCGGCTTCAGTTTGGCTGGGCGACCCGGGTTCGAATCTGCTCCGCACCCTAGGAGCTCTGCGTCCCAGAGTAAGTCACTTCACCTCTCGTGCCTCCTTGTCCCGGCCTACACCGTGGGGCCACTGCGAGACCCCCAGAGACCTGTGAGTCAGTGTCAGGGGCGCGGCGGGCCAGGCCAGCTCTACAGGTGACACACGGTGGCGGCTGTGAGACGAGAGTTGGGACCGTTGGCTGGAGTTTTCCCCGACGTCACTCTGCTGGCTGGGGGTGAGGGAGCTTTGACCATCTCACCTTGGTCCCGCCCCTCTGTGGCCCCGAACTTGGAAAGGCACAGCCCTGGCTGTCACTCTAGATACCCCACCTGTAGACCCCAGGACGCTGGCCACGCATGTACGGAGAGAGTTCAGGGGTCTTCAAGGGGACCCCTTTCCTTCGTGCCTGTGTTTTCTCACTAGATGAGCACTGTCAGTGTACTCAGCTCTGCACAGTCCTGTGGCAGAACATGTCCCCAGGGGCCATTCACTGGCTCCTCCAAGGGGGATGGGAAGTGTCGGGCCCACTTTGCAGAGGGGAAAACCAAGACCCAGAAAGGCATGTTGCCCTTCCCCAGGTCATTCTCTGTCCTCCTGGGTCCCGCACATTCAGAGTCTGCTCCCCGGCTCCACTTTGCACATGGTGCTGACTCTGGAAGCCGATGCTGAACGTTGTGGTACGTTCTGTGTCTGTCAGGAGCCAGAGTGGGGTGTGGAGGGGGCCTCCGGGGAGGCATCCACGACAGGGCGAGCTTAGGGCACCTCACTCTCAAGGGCCACCCCTGCTCGTGCAGGGCCCTGGCATGAGCACGGGGTCCAGGTGCCCTCGGCACCTTGAGCACCTGCTTCACCTGCGTCCTGGCGCTGCCCATGCCCGTCCAACTGTCCGTGGGACGCCCCTGTCCATCACTCTGAGACGACCCTTCCTTGAGCTGTACAGGAAAGAATTTGGGCCTTGGGTGTTCCCACTGCGGCCACTCCCCTCCGCAGTTTGGAGGTCAGTCACAATAGGTGACGTATTATTAGGGTAGGTGATATATTTTGATAAGTGATACATTATGATATTTATGCATTAAATGTGTGAATATTAGTATTAAGTATATTGTGAAATATGCAGTATTAAATCGCTAAACCTACAAACCTATAGGCATAAGTGAAAATGAATATATAACCATATAAAATGCTTGCAAATATAATAGCTAAGTGTAAATATGTAACAGTCTATTAAATATATTATAAACTCCATCATTATTAGATGGGATCATCTATTTGTAATTTTGTGTCCTGATGATTTCGCTTGATATATTTTAGAATTGTTTCAAGGTAAACACAGATCTGCTTTATTTATCAACTTACTTTTTTGATTGTAGTAAATTACATATTGTAAATAAATACCAAAATATCATGTTATCATCAGCTAGCTTTGAATGTATATTTCGGTATTTGTGCATATGGTTACATTGGTGTGGAAACATTCTCTGTAGCTCTTTTCATCTCGTAAAGTTGAAACTTAGTGCCCATTAATCAGCAGTTCCTCACTCCCCCTTTCCTGGCTCTAGGCCACTACCCTTCTACCTTCTGTTTCTAGGAATGTGATCGTTCTAGGTTCCCCATGTAAGTGGGATCGTACAGGCTTTGTCTTTGTGTCCTTTGGCGCCCTTCTGTCAGTTCGATGTCCTCAGAGTTCATCTGCATTGTCACAGGCATGTCAGAGTTCCCTCCCTTGTTAAGGCTGAGTACTGGTTGATCCAGACGAGCACTGGGTTCCCTCCCCTCCCGCTGCTGGGAATGATGCTGTGTGGACTTCGTATACAAACATCTCTCAGAGCCCTGCTTCCAGCTCCATTGGGCACAGTCCTAGAAGTGGAATTGCTGGGCCATATTGCTTCATTCTTTGCAATACTTACATAGTACTCTACTGGGTGGTGGTACTATAACTTGGTATTTTAAATGGGATTTTTTTTAGGCTGCTCATGCTATAAACCCTGTGAGAATGAGCTGAGCCTGCAGTCTGGCTCCATATCTGGGATACTGGGTGCATCCGAAGCAGGGCTGCCTGGAAGAGCTGCAGCAGTTCTGTGTGTGGCGTGCTCGCCCGTCCTGAGCCAGGCTGCCTGGGCACAAGGCGAGTTTCTCACACTCACTACCTGTGCCTGGAGCGGGTTACCTGCTTATCCCGGGATGATGGAGGTCACGAGGAATGAGAATCGTCCTCTGAGGACTGGTTGTGCCATTCGCTCGGGTGTATGGCATCGGGCCTGGTACATGGACTGGGCTCCATACAAGGTAGTTGTTGTTACACACCAGAGAGGGCTGGGCCTTTGCAGGCCCAGGGACCACAAAGTGGAGTGGGAGGGTTGGTTGGGCTCGGTTTGAACATGTTGTCATCACTCAGCTAAGCAGGCTGGGAGGAAGCTTTGAGCTCATTGCTCTTCGTAGGGGGACCTGAGGCTCAGAGAGGCCGAGACACTTGGCCAAGGACAGACAGCCGATTGCCCTGCCTCCCCGTGCAGTGTTTTATTGGTCGCTCCGAAAGCTTGCAGGGTCTTGGGGATTCTGAGGCTTGGGGTTTGTCCCTGCTCCCAGGTTTGTGAAAGCAGAGCTGGGATTCCAGCCCAGCTGTCTGATGTGAAATCCCAGCCTCATGGGACTGCCCCCAGAGACCTGCCAGAAGAGCCGCTGTACCGGGATTAGCACTCTTAGTACTGTGCGTGGATGCTGCTGGGCGCGGTGGATTCAGAAAAAGCCACGGACTTTTGGGTAGAGCTGTAGCTTGTCTCCATGGGAGCCACTAATAGAAGTGACTTTCACCTACTTCTAGTGCGTTGTTCAGCCAGCAACTTGTGTCTCTGGATTTTTTTAGGGCTTACCCTGTATGATTTGGCCTCGTGCAGAAAGCTCTCACCTGGAGACTGCAGGTAGGTTTTGCTTTTGTTAAAAGTTTTCATTGTTGTGATTTTGCCAAGGAGTCAAAACCCTAACGCTTCTGCCTTTACTTCCTCACGCTCTGCTGGTGCTCAGCATCTGCCAGGAGGGCCCAAGGGCTGTGAGGCTGTTCCCTGATCTTGCCGTGTGAGCTTCAGTGCCCAGGGCAGAACTGAGGGTAGAGAGGGGCTGTCTGAAAAATGCAGAACGTGCACCTTGGCCAGGTGTATCACAGCACTCTATGGTTGCTGTAACAGTCTCATAAACTTGGTGGCTTTAAACTCACTTTGTTCTCTTAGAGTCAGAGGCTGGGTGTCCCTAACGCTGACCCTAACCCCAATCCAGGGAGGCCTGCTCCCTTCCTCTCCATGGCTCGAACGCTGTGGGTCCTGCTGTCCGTGTGCATCACACAACGCTGCATTGCTGTCAGGTAGCAGGAGCACCGTGTGGAATGAAATCCGGGGAGAAAATCCAAGTCTTCACCCCAGTCTCAACTTTTGCATCCTCTTCCAGGCTGGAGCTCATTCCTCTCCCTTGCTCATCATGGCCAGCAGGGTGGTACCTTGCATCCATGGTCACATTGCCTTCTCTTCTGTCTGTCCAGCTGCCCTTGCCTTCCTCTTACAAGGACTCCTGTGATGACATGTAGGGTCCATCTGGATAACCCAGGTTATCTCCCCATTAGTGGGCCTTGAATTTAATCTTAGCTGTGGCATGAACCTGTAGACCCAGCTGCTTGGGAGGCTGAGGCAGGGGGGGACTTGAGCCTAAGCATTAAAGACCAGCTTGGAAATATAGTGAGGGATCTTCTAAACATTGTTTTTTCTATCCTTAAGCATTTGATACTCCTAAGTATTTTCATATACAGGATGGCAGTTAATTGGCTTTAAGGACAGCTCTGCTGACTAATATCTATACCACATCCCTTTCTGAGAGGAACTGAGACTGACAGAATGGCTGTGACCTACCCAGAGTCCTGTAGCTGGCCCCCAACCAAGCAGTGTCCACTCAGAAGGGCTTCTGGTACCCAACCCCAGTCTTGTTGGTGACATTTCTGTGCTTTATACATAATGTTCATGCATTTTCAAAATATGTTAATGCAGAGGAGATTCTAGAGGGAGACCTTTTATGTTGAAGAGCTCAGCAGGCATTAGTGTCTCGCTGTGCCCTGGTCCCCCTGTGATGGCCATCAGAGCTGGCGCTGTAGTAGGCAGATGGCAAGAAGGACCCACTGAGGTCAGAAAGATTCTGTCCACTTTAGAGTTAACATCTGGGCCTTATCTGCACTGCTGCAACAAAACGCCAGAGGCTGTTTACTTTGTAAAGAAAAGAAACTCATTTAGCCTGCATTTGTGGAAGCTGTAGGATCCCATGTGTGAAAGCATCACCCATGGTGCTTTTCTGGTTTGGTTCTGAGTCATGGCTGGGGCCAAAGAATGTCTTTTCTAGCACACAACCCAGATAAGGAAACCACACTTTCAGGAACATGCCCTTGAAGCCCTTAGCTGTCCAGTCTGCAGACCTCATTTTGCTGGCAAAGAGGTTATAAGTTGGTCATTCTTCCATCCATCCATTCGCCTGCCCATCTGTCTGTCCATCCATCTATCCACCCATCCATTACACCTTCACTTACTCAGCATGCATTTTCAGATGCCTTCCACATACCATGGATTCTGTCTCCAGAGATGAACTGTTGGGTCCTGCAGCCTGTGTGCATTATATAACACATGTGCATTGCTGTCTTGTAGCAGAAGCACCCTGTGGAATGAAATCCAGGGAGAAAATCAAGTTCCCAGTCGTGACTTCTGCAGCCTCCCCCGGGCCGAGGGCTCATTCCTTCTTTGCTTTCATACCTCCATGGCCCAAGAAGAGCTTCTTTAAAAGAGAGTCTCCTATAACGCAGCACCTGGTAAGGAACAGATTCTATGCTTCTGTACAGGTAACACATGTTGGAAAGAAACCGGTCTTGACCTCATGCTGCGTAAAGGGCTTTTGCTCCTCAAAAAAGCCAGTTTCTTCTCTCTTACTATGTGCATCACTGGGGAGCAGACCCATTTTCCTTCCCAGGAACTCTTCTTGCTGCATGACGCAGTGTTTAGAAGAAGAGGAATCCTGGCATTAGGCAGCCAGACCTAGTGCATTTGGCCTCAGTTCTGCAACCTGGAGTGATTCACTCCCAGCTGCTGAAGGAGGATGCTACTGATGACAGCAAGGGGCATTTAGCATGTATTTACTGGGTGCTTTAGCACTTTATGTGTGTGATGTGTACATTTATTCCCATTTTGCACATGAAAATCTGAGGATGAGAGAGGTTAAGATACTTGTTCCCGGTCCCGTGGATACAAGTGGCAGAACCAAGATCCAAAGCCTCTGCTCTAAAGTGCAACTCTGTCCCCCTGCTGTCATTTTATATTCTATTTTGTGCCTTGGTTCCTCAGAGCATAGTCTTTCAAGGTAAGATTTAGTGTCTCAGAATGGGATTGAGAACTCCTGAGCTCAGCTGTGGCAAATTAATTCAAACTTGGTGGCTTAATTCAGTAGAAATGCATTCTTACTGTCCTGGAGGCCAGGAGTCTGAAATCAAAGTGTGAACAGGGCCATGCTCCCTGAAGGCTCTAGAGTGGCCCCTTCCTGCCTCCTCTACTTCCTGGGGGCTCCAGGTCACCTTGGTTTGTGGCCACATCTCTCCTATCTCTGCCTCTGTCTTCACATAGCTTCCTCTGAGCCTGTGTCTCTTCTGCCATGTATCAGGACAGTTGCCTGAGGCTTAATTTCCTCATCTGTAAAAATGGGAGAGCTAGAATTCCTGCATGCAGAGGGATGGGCCAAATGCCTGGTTCTTGGAAGATGCTGTCAGCATTGCCCTGATGATAATGTCACCTGGAGCCATGATAGTCTGGGGCTCAAGCTGTAGCTCATCCCATTGCAGGTGTCAGGTGGGCAAGAGAGAGAGCAGGGAGGCATGGCCACCCCAGCAGAGAGTGCCACAGAAAGCTGAGTGCCACCTTCAAGGAGGGAAGGGCCCAGGCCAGTTCAAAGGCTGTGCACTGTTACCAAGGGGCTCAAGTGCTGGGGCTGGAGTGATGGCGAGGGTGGAGTGAACATCACGGAAGAGACGAAGCCTGAGGCTTACAGGGCAGCGGGAGGTTTTCAGCGCAGCTGATGGTGAGGCCTGGCTTTTCACTGTGTCTTTTCATGGGAGCCGTTGTTGGGCTGGTGGAGGACAGACCTGAATGGATTCTCCATGCTCACGAGGGCCCAGCTCACGAGGGCCCAGCTCACGGAGAGGCCATGCTATGTGCTGCATGTGTCCCCTGCCGTGGTGTGGTGATTGTGCTAAGTCAGCCCAGGCCAGGGGGATGAGGCTGCATGTGCCATGGTTCTGTTCGTTAGAAGAGTTTTCAAAGCCCCACTCACATTCCTCTTGCGGAGGGGGCAGCTCTCGTTTGCTGAGTCCCGGTGACAACAGGTGGCCTCCACGTGCTCCCAAACCAGGAACGATGCATTGTAATTTCGTGTCCACATTCTCCCTTCCAATCCCTTAATGCTCTTGAAAAAAATCTTCAAGATTACTTAAGGGATTAACGGAAGTAATCCCTTTATCCTCTTTTAAAAAGTTGGTCATCTTGTTCTTTTATTAAATAAGTGCAGCATAAAATATTTTCATTTTCTAATAATTTCTGTATTTTATTGTAGTATGGAGACATTGTAAGAGAAGTTCAAGGGACTTCTGAGAATGGAGTAATTTTTCAGAAATGTGCGCTGGTAAGTTTCCATAAAGTGGCTTATTCATGAAGAGAAGATAATTGGATTTTATTTAACATGCATTGGTAGACTCATGCATTTAAGAATTGGCAAATCGTCTAGATCTGTAAGTGATGACAAAAACAGTATGGGTTCTATATTGGTCACTTGTTTTATTCCTGGGACGAAATGCTCCACATGGACAACTGAGAGGAGGGAAACTTTGTTTGGATTAAGGTTTCTGAGGTTTCAGTCCATGGTTGGCGAGCTCAAGGAAGAATTCTGGCAGAGGGGCCTGGCGGAGGAAGGTTGCTCACCTCATGGCAGGTGGGAAGGAGAGAGGGAGGGAAAGAGCCAGAGAGGAAGGGGTCAGGGATAGATACACCCTTGAAAGGTGCACTCCCAGGGCTGTGCCTCATCCAGTTAGACCCTACTTCCCAATGAGCCCATTAAGCTATGACCTCATTCATAGGTTACTCCACTTGATGAAGTTAGCACCCTCCTGATCCACTTAGTTCTTCAAATCCCAGCAGCCAGCAGCTAAGCCTTCATCACAGTGTGGCTTTTGGGGGATATTTTGGATCCCAGGCATAACAGGGCCTGATCTGTTTTATGGCAGCATTAAGATCAGGGGCTTCTTTAGGTAACAAATTATTGTTCGTAAAAATTTACAGTGAACAGGGAACAGGGAAGAAAGTATGATGTACTTACTTCCTGATTACAGACACTGACATGGTACTTGATGGCTCTGAAACTTGGCTGAAGTGTTAGCTATTTAGTCTGGCTAATTGCCGAAGATGGTTATGCACATTCCCCTGTGTCAGGGTTCCCCGGGGCCACCCCCAGGCCCAGTGACTCTTAGGACTCACAGAAGTCAGAAAAGTTGATACACACAGTTCATCACAGCAAAAGGTACACATTGAAGTCAGCACAGGGAGAAGGCGCCTATGGCAGAGCCCAGGACAGACCAACACAAGTTTCCAGGTGTCTTTACCCAAGGGAGGTGCATGGACAGTGCCCAGTTCTACCAGCAGGGATGTGCGACAAGCAGGATCACCAAGCAGGGAACTTCTCCTGAGCCTTGGTGTCCCGGTTTTTCTCAGGGCTCAATCATATGAGCTTGGAGCACCTGTAAGACTGGCCTCAGTTACGCAGTCTCCTGTCCCTCCAGAGGTCACATTAACAGTGTGGCCCTTGGCACTCATATTACAAGTCACATTGTTGGCAGTGAGTGTCTGGTGTGGTCCAAGGCCCTAGGCATCCAAAGCCTTTTGCAGGCAGGATGTTTCTAGCAGCAGGTCTAGGGCCAGGCCCCTGGAGTGTGCAGGACTTTGACAGCATAGGCCTGCTGAGCTCATTCGTGGCCCCAGCCTCGTTTTACTGAGGGTTGTGCGCTCACCTGCTCATCTTCCTGGATACTCTCAGTGTTACCTTTCTCATATCTACTTCTGGTGACACTGCCTTCTACATGCCGTTATGAGTGCGCGCGGGTGTGTATGTGTGTACATGCATATATATGTGCATATGCCTTCTCCTGTTTTTGTACGTGGCACAGATTACACGATTTTCCAGCTTGCTTTTACACCTGTATTCTGGAGCTCATGCGTCTTGGAAAACATACTGCTTCCATCTCTTTTCTCCAGCTCCTGCAGCTGTTCCAGCAGAGCTGGGAGAAGCAGGTGTAGATATGATGAAAATAAGGCTGGAGAGAGGGAGGCAGGGCAGGGTCTCAGGGCCCACGAGGTGGGGAGTCAGCCACTTGGGCCATCGGTCAGGGTCCACATTGGAGCCACTCGTCCTGTGGCTGGGAAGAACATGTGTGGAGGAGATGGGCCGGGAGACGATGAGCTGCTCATCTTGTTCTTGGAGCTCAAATGGCCATCGCAGATGTTGGCTCTGGGGCTGGAGCTGCATCTTTAAAGTGACTGAGTGCAGAAGAGCCACTGTTTGCTCTTCCCGGTAGCACCGGATGTCACCATCTCTGCAGCCTGACTGTGCTTTTGCACTTGGATCTTTTTCCTTCTGAGATTCTCTGCAGGGATGATTTCATTGCATTCCAGTGTCCCAGTTTCTTTGAAACTGTCTCCAAGCAACAGCTTGGCAAGTGTGGGTCAGCACCCTCCTGGGCTTGGAAATCAGGGACCCCAGTAAATTCTCAAGAGTGTCTGTCAGAGCGGATGTGCACAGTCGGGCTTGTGTGTCATGTTTGGAAGCTGGACTCGGCAGCACATCTGCCCTCTTCCCACCTCCTCCTGTCCCAGGTGTCCGGGCAGAGCGAATCACAGACAGTGCGTGTGCATCTGGTCGTGAACAACACCCAGGTGCCCTTGTCAGCCAACCTCTCGGATCTGCTCCTGCTGGATGACATCAGTGGCCTCACTGTCAGAGACTCAACTGGAAATAAGACCCCGGATGGACTGCAGGCTTTCAGAAAGAAGTTCCTGCCAGGTAACAGCAGAGCGTGCTTAGGCCGGGGATGGAAAATGATGAAAATATTTGCAAGTTAATGTGGTAGGGACGCAGCATGTTCTAGATGTGTCTGTGTTCACTTAGTTGAGGCTCACAGACCCTCTGATTATCCAGGTAGCAAAAGAAGAGACCATCACTCAGTATCTGCAGTCAAAAGCTTGATTACTTTGCTCGGGGAGGTGGGATTTGGGGACAGAATTCTATGGGATTTAAAAAAAATTCAGTCTTTATTATGAGGAATTTCAAACAGACAGTAGGAAATTCAGGAATTTCAGGCACTTGCCACAGGCAGACTCACTGAACTCTATTCTAACGTGATGTCTTAAGTACTTTTCTTGTTTCTTTGACAAAGTACTCAACACTCACAAGTTAAAAGAGGAAAGGCTTGTTTTGGCTTACAGTTTGTAGAGGTTTCAGTCCATAGTCGCTTGGCTGCAAAGCAGAACTGAGTGGCAGAGGGGCATCGCAGAGCAGAAATAGTCCATGGTATGACAGGCAGGAGGCAGCAAAGAAGCAAGCAGCAACCTGCCTTCTTTCAGTCTCTTTGTATTCCATCCGGGCTACAGGTCTGTTGACTGGTGCCACTCACACCCAGGTGGGGCTTCCATTATCCACACTCAGTGCTGTGCTAAACCCATTCAGTTATCACATACCTTTAATCCCAGTATCACACCCCCATGGTCCAGTTGCCTCTCAAGAGCCCCCCTGAGACTTTGGGGTGACATCTAGATAGAAACTGCAACATGTGGCCACACTGCACATCTCTTGGTCCCTGAGCCACCATGACTTCCCCCAGTGAGAGTGGGGAAGTGGTACTGGTGGCCTGGAGTGTGGGGAGTGCCCTTAGGGTTGTGTGGTTACTTTCGTTGTTGTTGCTGCTTATGCCCCTGTCACCTCTGCCTGTGAGCTTACCCCCAAACTCTCCGCTATGCCAAAGGCTGACAGGCTGATTTTCAGCGTCAGGGGCAGCAACTTTTCCCCCCAGAGAACAAACAGAGGACTGTGATGAAAGGATCAGCAGAGCCCAGTTCATGGACGCACTGACTCCATTATCATTTGGTGCTTTTTCCTCATCACAGCTAATGTGATTTAAGGAAGAGTTGCGACCAAGAGAGATAGGTGGCTTTCTCCTTAGTAGTGGGTTGATTTTAAGCAAGCCAGCCTCTCTCAGTCTTGGTTTATTCTTCTGAACGTTGCAGAATATGTGCTCTCTGTCCACACACATCCACACACCGAGGCGGACTCGAGGCGGAATGTGGGGATCACTTGGGTTAGTGTACGTGCACCGGGAGTGGTGAGTCCCTGTGCCAGGGAGGTCTGACTGCGATTGCCTTAGCCAAGATCATTTTCATGATTGTTACATTTATTCTCATATCTATACTGTCTCCGCTTTTGTCCTTACCTAACAGAAAAATGCAATTGTTAAGGAGTTTTAAATCCCCAGTGATTTTTACAATCCATCCACGCTCATTTTCTGCCTCTTCTATATAAGTTTATTTGTTCTTTTTGAGGTTTCCAGGGGTGAGAAATGAAGACCCAGTAACATATTAGGGCAAAACTGTAACCCCTGTTAGAGAGGATGGCAGGATGGGCACAGGTGGCCACAGTGACCGGCATAGCTAGCCTGTCCTCCCAGCTGAGCACTCCCAGCATCCTCCATCCCCGGTGAGATGGGCCCTGCTGGGACAGGGGTGTTGCCAACCCAGGGGCATGGCCAGCCCCTCCCTGACGTGCATGTGCTTCTTTCTGAGCAGTGGGCGACTCCTATCTGGTCAGCTACACGGCATCGCTGGACCCTGGAGCCGTGGGCACCGAGGAGAGCCTGAACCTTCCCGCCCAGCTCACTTTCCAGAGCTCGTCACCGGTACTTCCTTTGTGGCTTTGACTTCTGCCTTGGCACTCATGGGAGGTGTTTCAGGACCGTGAGTGGGAAGGGCGCAAGGTTCTTACTTCTTTCATTCCTTCTGTGCCTCACACGGGCTTGTTGTGAGCATGAACACTCCAAATCTGTGCCACCCCGTAGCTGTAGCCCGTTAACCCGTCGCTCGCATTCCTGTCAGGGCTGAGAGACAAAGTGCTGCAATCCGGGTGGCTTCCGGACAACAAATGCAGTGTCTCATCCCCTGATTGCTGGAGGTTGGGGGCCAGCTCCTCTTCCACCTCTCTCCTTGGCTCGCACGGGGCATCTTCTCCCTGTGTTCCCACGCAGTTGTCCTGGGTGTGTCTGTTTTCCTGTTCTCTTTTTATAAGGACCCTAGCCATACCAGATAAGACCCATCTTCACGGCCTCATTTTATTTTGATCTCTCCTTTAAAGGCCCTGTCTCCAAACAGTCCCTGTTCACTGAGGCTCAGGGCTTCAGCAGGTGCATGCTGGGAATACCACTGAGCCCTCGCCAGCGTTGCCGTTTGTTCCTCTGTTGCTCATTTCTCTTTCTGAGCGCCTGCTCATGCAGCGAGCGCTGTTGGCTGTGCATCTTGGGCAGTGCTGCCTGCTCAGGGTACTTCCGGCGAGACGTGGGCCTTGTTTGCAAGGAGCTCATGTGCCTCTGTTCCTTTTGCCGTTTTATTCTGACTCCGGCCTCTGGAGGAAGGCCCCTTTCATAGGCGTAGAAAATGTGGCTTCGAGCGTGACTATGACCGTCCAGGTCACATGACAGAATCAAATCAGACATGCAGCAGGGGCCCCTCCTGGGAACTCTTGGTGCCTGAGGCCACCACGGGGCCTGTGCAGCCTTTCTGCTGCAACAGGAAAAAACCTGCAGGTAAAATTAGGGAAAAGGAAAGATGCTAAAAAGATGAAGACCAGGGCTGGGGATGTAGCTCAGTGGCACAAGTGTCTTCCTGGCAACAGCAAGGTCCTGAGTTCGATTCCCAGTACCAAAAAAATTAAAAAAAAAATAAAAAGATAAAGACCAGATACAAGAAAACCATGTGGAACTGTCAGAGAAGATAGAGCCATCAAGACCTAATCAGGTACAAAGTCAAAGAGGACAGAGAGAGACGAAAGAGGGCTGAAACGCCCCCAAGTGCTGTCAGCAATTTCAGAGCACAGGAAACCAAGTCAGTTAAAATAAAAGTTTAGGATAAGTGCCAGCAACTCAAAATGAAATGACATTTGAACTCCTCTCTCCTCCAGTGGGACAGTCAGGGTCTGGCGCCAGAGCTGTGGTGCAGCTCTGGGACCCAGTGTCCCCAGTAGGGATGGCTGGGGATGGGGTTAGAGTGACCCACCTGCTGGCCCTGGCCCTGCTACCGTGAGCAGCAGCACTCCTCCCAGCTGTATGGCACACGTCCCAGCTCCAAATTCCGTGCTTTGCCCTCAAAGCAATCCTAAGTGGATGGCTTCCATTTTTCAGAGCATTGAGGCACAGGTAAGCTAATACCTGGCCCAAGGGGAGACTGCTGGAAGTAATGGAGCTGTGTGGGAGCCCAGGAAGTCTGGCTGTGTAACTGCTACCCTGTCCTGCCTTCCAGTCGTGTGCGTCCTGCCTACCCCCCAGGAAGAAGGCTCAGATACTCCCCTTGGCACTGCTAGACACGGTGGCATCCCCCTTCACTTTCCTGGGTCCTGTGTCTTCTCAGGAGCAGAACATTAAAAGTGCTGGGAATAGATCTACAGGCACTGGGGTTTGGGAAATTAGTGTTCGGGTTTCCACGAGCCTCCTGTGGAGAAAGCCGTATCCTCATGCAGCAGACCTGTGTCCCAAAGGGCCCTAGGTCCCCCGCCAGCTCTGCCTTGCCTGGCAGTCAGGGGAGTGCAGCCCCAGGCACAGCGGGTTGGAACTAACGTGAGGTACTACCCCATGTATGAGATTCCAGAAGCGGCCAGCTAAAGCACCCTCTTCTTTCTTTTCTAGAACAGAACGCAGCTGCAAGCCCTCTTGACCATAACAGTGGCTGAAAAGATAACAGTAAGTGACAATGCATGGCTGAGGCCTGTACCCTGTCTTGTGTGCCCGTGTCCTTGGTCTTGGGGGCCTGGTCTCTGGTTTGTCCTTGGATCCCGGTGGAGGCACTCGGGGGATGCATGCAGTGTCGAGTCCCGTGGGGCCCTGGGCTGGATGGCTGGCTCTCCTGGATGACCATCTACCTGGGAGGTGCTTGGGCACTGCCTGGACAGGCGGAGATGCCACCTGATCATCTGCATTGCTGTTTATCCCTCGCCTTCCTGCCCCTGGTGTTTGCCGCCAGGTTTGACTGGAGTTACATTTCGCCTTCCTAGGTGGGCCCAGAGCCCTGCACCCTGCGTGGCCGGCCTCCCTGCACCTGCGGGGCAGCATTAGCATCTGCAGTGCTGCTCACCAGCGTGCTTGCTGTGTCTTGGCGCACGCTCTCACCCTGTGCTCACCGAGGGGTCGTTCACCAGTGCGTCGGCCTTCAGGGTTCTCCAGGGAGGCGGGGCCTGTAGGCTGCGTGTGGAGATTATATGAGAGGGGTCTATTAGAGAACTTGGCTCACACGATTATGCAGGCATGTGCAGGCTGGGGACGCTGGATTGCCGTCTAAGTCTGAAGGCATCAGAACCAAGGGGTGACGGTGTGACTCTCAGTCCAAAGCTAAATCCTTGGAACGTGGGGGCTGCTGCATAAGTCCTGCAGCCCAAGGCTGTGGGGCCTGGGGTGCTGATGTCCGTGGGTAGAAGACTCCATCTCCACTTAGGAGATCGCAGACGCCGTCTCCTTTCCTCTGTTTTTGCTCTGTGTGGGACCCAGCTAACTGGCTGGTGCTGCCCTCACAGAGGAGGGAACGTCCCTCCTTAGTCTGCTGGGGTGCATGCTAATTACCCTCCCAGACATGCCCCAATAATACTTTCTCTGGATGTCCCTTTCCCCAGTCTAGCAAGTCTTCTAAGCAGTTTACTTACACTATACCTTGTCATCTTCATCTCATCTCCTGAGAGATGGTAGACCGTCTCCATTTAGCAGATGGGGAAGCCAAGGTATGTGTACCAAGGACAAGTCATTTGCCCAAGGTCTCATGGGAGAATGTCACTGTCCTCAGGAGCCTCCCCAGGCTGGTGACTGAGGAGTCACAGGTCTCCTTAGGGTTGTGCTCAGGGCTCTAACTCCAGTGAGAGGACACCGAGGGAAAAGCCTCGGGGTGCAGTGTTGAGAAAGTGAGCTGCCAGCGTCCGAGAGCCCCTCCCAGCTGAGTGGGCATGCAGGCCATCCGGAGGGTGGCGCCTTTGGTTGTCAATTTAACTCCTTGCTGCTGGGCTCCAAGGAGGTGGAGACTTGGCCCATGCATTGTGTTGCAGAGCCTTATGATCAATCACGGCCACACTGCCTCTGAGTGGCCTACCAAGCCCTTCACAGAAGAGATGGCCTGATCACTGGGCCATCAGCAGCACAGCTCTCAGCCCTTTGTGCTGGTCTGAGCTCCTGATGACAGAGGCCATGTCTGATTTACCCTATGTCCCCTGCAGTGCCTTACCCTGCAGGTGACACTCAACAATAAACATCCCTTGATTGAGCTGATGGTCATCAATGATTACTGCTCAATGGAGGAGGTGGTTGGTGGCCCCATGACTGCAATCAATGGCAGAGGACATCATGTCCTTGCTCCTTGCCCAGGACTCTGGTGGTGACAGAGAGGAGCCATCTCAGAGAATAGGGCTGCCTCCCACCTGCAGATTGCCTTCAAGGGCGGCAGGACAGGCGCCCAGCTGGAATGCAGGCTGCCTCTGCCAGGTGCCCTTGGGCTGCTGCACTGGGCTCACCAGGCACGCATGTGTGGCTGTTCAGTGGTGTGAACACAGCAACCTCTCGGATGGGAAGACCTGGCTTTGGATTCCTGTCCCCTGTTACTTTCCTGAAGCTGAAACTGACAGCTGCTAGTCACAGAAAAAGCAGCTTCCAGAAGTTTCTGCCCATTTCTGCTCCAGAAGTGGCCTGTCCCTCTCTGCCTCCTGGATGAGTAGTGTCTGAGAGGTGAAGATGTCACGCCGTGCCAGACAGCGTGCAGGTCTCAGAGGGCTGAGACCCCACCTGCAGTCCCTGGTGTTCCTCAGGGGCACCTGGGAGAGCGGGTTGCCTACCCTGCTGCTAGCATCTCAGGTCTCACCAAGAAAGGGGCGTTTAAGCCCATTGTTAGGGTGCCCGATTCATTTAGAATGCAATTCCGACAGCAGTTCTAATGGGGCTTTGGGGGGAATGTGATCAAAGCAAGTTTCACCTGAAAATACATGTTTATGAAGCTTGATGGGGGATTTTGAGAATGAGGAAGAGTGTGCGAAGATTTGCCCCAGCAAATGTTGAAAATATGACAGAACGACAGCATTGCAGCGCACATCAATGGAGCCAGGCCAGCAGAACCAAAGAGACACGTGTATTGTAACACAATGGTGTGTTAAGTGACTGGGAGAAAACTATCATGCATGAATTTGGGGGCAGATGAGTGGGTCTCTTGTAAGGAAAAATAAAATAATGAGATTAAAATGTAAGTAGATAAAAGAATTTGTAAAATATAAAAATTGGGCAAGAAAAACAAAGGGTCTCAGTATGGAAATACTTTGAAGCTTTACATTTCAAAACTTTAAGAAAGATAAATGAGGGACTTGCGAAGGTATTTATAATATACAAAGGAAGCAAAGATTAAAAGAGCATGTGTTCATTAATAGGAAGTAATCCTTCAATAGATAACATCTAAAATACGAGAATTTCTCGCATACGAGATGTTTAAGGTGCCCTTGAGGCTCAGCAGGGGGTGGGCTGTAACTGCTGGCAAAGCGCGTGCTTGGAGTCGAAGTGGGAGCGCTCGGCCGTGCCAACGATCTCGTGTGACTGCTGCTGACTTCTCTGTGCCAGGGCTTTTCCAAGCCCACCAAGTAGCTCCCAACCCACTTGAGCTGCCCTTCCGCCCCCAGATGTGCTCCTGACGACCCAGGCCCACACTGCAGTGATCTCCCTTGGAGCACTAGCCTCTCGCTTTCTGTGTCTGAGGCGCCCATTCGGGACTCTCCCAGGGCCCCAGGAACCTCGGTTGTCCACATCTCTTTGGTTTTGCACAGGTTGCTCTTTTTTCACCCGTGTTTGGGGCACCTCATAAACATCCTCAGGACCCTGAGAGGCTTCTCCACCTCCGCTTCTCCAGGCTCCCTGAGCGAGTTGGTTGCCTTCCTTGCTGGGCTCTATGGTACAGCGCCATTTCCTAAGCCTGTCACTCTGCGGCAGTGAGGTTGTTCCTCTGGATGACACTTCAATTGTGTTTGTTGACATCACAAGAGAAGTTCTGTCTGGGACAAGACTTTAAAGATGATCCATTCCCACTTCCTCGTGTCAGAGTCAAAACCTGGGAAACGCTGAGGCCCAGATACCCGGAGCCACCTTGAGGTAGGGACTCACGCTCTGTGTGCACCTTCCCCTCTAACCAAGTTCCGGTCACTGAGCTGGTGAGTTGGTAGAGCTGTGCCAGGAAGTGTGATTGTCTCTCCCTGTGACCACCCCTGAGCCCTTGCTTTTCCCAGGACTGTCAGCTGTGGGGTGAAAGTCTGTGTACTTGGGGTTATGGGACAAGGGTCAGCAAGCCACCAATGTCCTCTGTTCCTTGGATCTTTAGCTCAAAGCAAAGACTTTCAACACAACCACTTCCAGAATCTCTTCCAGGGAGAAAACCGTCCGTATGTTCTGTATGGTCTCCCATTGCCTTCAAACTGCTGTTGTCTGGGTTTTGGGCTGTAGTGGCCAGGATTTAATGCATGCCCAGGGTCAACCTTTGACATCTGCTCCGTACCCCTCCACATACAGAAAAGCTGAAAGAGTAGAATAACATTCTTGCCACCAGAGAGAACCCTTGCTAAGATGTTAGCCTCTTGCCTCTGCAAGGCTATGAATATATTATTACATAATTGAAGCCAAACTCTATCAACAGTTCTTCAGCGTGTCTTTGTAACTTGCTGCTGGATTCTCAGCCTTTTTAAAGCCTTCCTTTTGAAAGGCCCCTTTGTCTAGCATCGCTCTCCATAAATGCAGCGATAGAATTCATCAAAGGCATCTGCTCCTGCTAATGTGTGATTAAAGGGGTGTTGAGGAGTGGGTGATTCTTTTCAAGGGACAGAAGGAAAGTGAGCGAGAATTATGCGGGGTGGGAACTGAGGACAACCACCTCTTTTTCTTTGTTCCTGAGACAGTGCTGTGTGAGGGAAACATGCTCTTTGGAATCGGTGCTTTCAATGGGTAGTAGTGGAATTGGGCTGTGACATTTTGGGGGGAATCTCGGAGATATGGTTAACTTGGAGCTGATGCTCGTGCTCTGTACAACTTCAGTTCCAGTGCTTGTTGCTGCAGGGGTGCCCCCCAGGAAGAGCTTTAGGGCCGCTGTCTGCTCCCCATCCCCGGCGTCCCACACACCCGTCCTACCGTGCCATCACTGTCTCTGTTGACTGTGTCTCTTAAGAGTCCCCCTCCTCTGTGCCCTTCCCTCTAGCTTAACAGTAGCCGTAGCTCACATGTACTGACCCTCTCAGTGTGCTCCGTGGTGTAGCATCGACACCATGCGTGCATGTGCGCGTGTGTGGGAAATCACACATGCTCGGTGCTGTTCCATCGCCCCGAGAGGAAAAAGTGCCCTTTGTGCACTCCCTCCTAGCCCCCTTCCCCAGCCCCCGCAACACTGCCCTGCCTTCCTTCTCCCTGGATTTGCTGACCTGGACACTGGGCACAAATGTGCAACCTCTGGGGCCTGGCTTCTGCGGCTTAGCACTGTGTTTTGTATTCCTGGTGCAGCACACACCAGATCATCTTTCCTTCTTTGGCTGTGTAGTATCCCACGCTGTGGCTCTGCAGCATCTTGTTATTTATTTATTTATCAGAGCGTTTGATCCCCACCCGTTGGCTCTTATGCACAGTGCCGCTGTGAACATGTAGGTGCAGGTTTTTGTGGGAACACCTGCTTTCGATTCTTTTCAGTACGT